ATTACTTAAATAGTGTAGTGCATAAATAAGAAGGAAAGGCTTCGCCATGACTGGCCAATCAAAAACAGAATCTATTCCACACACCTATAAAATTGAGCTCATTAGAAAGGGAGTCTCTAAACTATGCAACAGTTTTCAAAAAAAAAAAAAATCTGAGCACTCATAATTTCGAAGAGCCTCTCAAGCTGTTTCAAGAAGTTACTTTGTGAAGTATCCACTTTAGAGATGCTTTTTCTTATATCTCCTTCCGAAAGTCCCTCTTTCTTAAAAGAAAAAAAAAACACTTTAAAACTTTGAGCTGTGAGAAAGAAACGGGCTGAAACGCAAACAAACAGTTTTTCTTACCTCATCCGTAAATTTCTCCTGAAATTATTTATTTTAGTAGCGGTTGTTAAAAGAAAAAAAGGAGACGTGAAATGCACTTGCGTAATTTAGCTCATATTGGTCACGAATTTGTAGTTTTTTGAAATGAAATGTGCAAGATTCAAATAGATCCAAGTAAGTAATTAGATTCAAAAGCTATTTTAGATGTAACTTATTCACGTAAAAACAAAATATTACGAAATAAAGGAACTTAAATGAAATGTACAAGATTCAAATAAATCCAAATAAGTAATTAGATTCAAAATCTGTTGTAGATCAAACTTATTCACGTAAAAACAAAATATTACGAAATAAAAGAACCTAAATGAAATGTACAAGATTCAAATAGATCCAAATAAGTAATTAGATTCAAAATCTGTTATAGATCAAACTTATTCACGTAAAAACAAAATATTACGAAATAAAGGAACTTAATACTACGTAAAAAGCAAAACTTCACAATTACCAAAATAACTTTTTAATCAATTTTAACTGCCCTGCGTTTGTCAGTCCAGCAATTCATTATGATCTTAGAAATAAAAGTTTCGAAAACATTGACTTCTTTTATTTCAATTTGTCTGCAATCTTCGTAAGGTGCTGAATTGAACCTTGTTTCAGTCCAAATTGAACCGTAAATAAATTTAAATTCTTCAGATCATGTATACTTGATTGCGTTAATGCCCCCTTCACCGTCGGTGATTTGAACCCAATCCAGAAGACAAGAGAACTCCTGGATCAAGTATTGTATTGACTGAAATTTGCCTTCGTGTAGGATTTTTTGATGGAATTAACCTGCATTTGAGTTACATGGAGAGGAAAAACGCAAAAACCTTCCACAGTAAGCCCGCCGGCAAGGGGACTCTAACCCATGATCTATATACCACTGAGAATATTTTTATGTCAGCATTGTGGTCGGTACGAACCGGATGTGAAATTTGTATCAACAAGCCATAGCTGGGATTCGAACTCGGGTTCACCTCATTGGGAGGCTAGCGCTCTATTCTCTGAGCCATCACGGTTCTAACGTTATTGTGGTAAAAACACGCTACAAAATTTCTAACTAAGTAAAGGATATTATAGACAATGCGTTATGCATCTTTACTAACACCGCCAAATGGGGTTACTTTTACCAGTTTTAAATATCTAGTTATAATTTTGTGTGTTTCACTATTAGTTAGAGAGGAGAAATAATTCCTAGATTTAGTTCCGTCCTTTAAGCTATTGATTTGTAATGTTCAGATACATTTTTTATACTTTCTCTTTCAGTAAAAATTCAAAAGTACCGAAAGAACCAGGGTAACTTTGCTGTCAAGATGTTTTTTATTGAAACTACGTCTGGAGTCAATTGTTCGGAAATTGGAGTCTTTGCAAAAAACCAAATGAGCAAAAAAATCTATTTATCTTCACAATCGGGCATTAGGAAATCTAATTCGATTGAAATTTTCATCGAACCCTCTCACACTATTATAATGAAGTAAACAAGCATCAATTAAATATTTAAATTTTAAAAGGAGTAAATATTTACTTATAACCATGGCATTTATCTTTTGAATTATTTGAATATGAGTTCTATCAAATACCGAAATCTGTTATTTATATTGATTTTATCTGTATTCTGTTGATAAAACGTTCATTGCGCGACGCTTTTTTTTAAAAAAAAAAAAGAATTTTATAATCTATATATCTGAGAATAGTTGATCTATTAATTTGTCCTAATATTCGTAAGCATTTTTTTCTGGAGATTTTAAACTATAGCATCTTAAAAAAATTGCACCTGTATTTTAATAATTTGCTTTTTTGTATAGGTCCAGTTACCCTCCCCATGCTTAATATTTCAGAATCTTCGTCAAAAATAAGGAGAAAAATATGCAAAAAAAATGCCTCAAAGTGTGGAAAAAAATATTATTAAGATTTAACAAATCTTGAAGGTCAAGATCATTTGAGTCTGAATGACCGCGAAATTAAAATCATCAAATATTGCATAATTGTTCGAATGAAACTGAGAAAAAGAGTACAGGAAATAATTAGAAATGCTTTTTAGTCCCTTTCTGACTACTGTACAAGATTTTAAACTTTCATCCGGCCTCGATAATGATTGACTTTAATTGAAGTTTTGTCAGATTTTAGTATTGTAGAAATTTTGTTTTTCCCATTTAAATATTCATGTACTCAAGGTTAATTCATAGTAAGGGTAGATCTTGCATGCGTTATCCTTTACTTTACATGCATATTTTTTTGCTTCTTTTGAAACCATAATTATAAATGTGGAGAACGCCAAAAAAACGCCACCCTGAATAACTTTTGATCTAATTATCTGATCTTTACGTTCTAGGACTCAATCTTAATAATTCGAGGTGTTATTTCAAATATGCTAATTAATTAGTGCAGACAATATTTTAAGTTACGAAATCGGACACTAAAACACACTTTCTCTGAATAAACGTACCTTTTTTTCGACGATTCAGACTTTTGACTCCAAAAGATGCAAGAAGTAGCCGCAATCTGAGGAATATGGTCCCCATAGTCCCCTATAGACCCGAAATCGGTCGAATAGTTCCTGAGAATTTGAATTTTAAAAATGCCGTATCTTTAAAATTCGATTTCTCAGGAACTATTGAACCGATTTCGCTCAAATTTTGTATTTTGTCATGCAAAATTATAGAATTTAAAATGATGTAAAAAATTATATACCTTACAATTCAAAATTTTTCTGACTATTATTAAATAAAATAATAAAGAATAATAAATCTTTACATGAATAACTTTTTTTTCATGGATTTATCTTTGGAGAAACGAATTTTATTATTGTGTGCAAAAAATTTTCAATTCGCTTAAAAAGTTTTCGTGATAAGCAAGAAGTGAAATTAACTTTAAGGAGTCAAAATTTCGAATTGCTGTACTGACCGAACTATGGGGACCATATTTCCCAGATTGCGTCTACCCTCCTATATTTTGGGGATCAGAAATCCTACTCCTAGATCCGATAATTAGGTCAAAAGTTATTGAGAGTGGTCAGTTTTTGTGGCGCACTGTACTATTAAGACTATTAGATTTCTATTAGAGATGATCATAAATCAATTAAATAGTACCTACTTCATCACAGAAGAATTCGCATTTATATATTTTGTATTAAGGAATTATCTATTTTATCATTAACCAATTTTCGGCCAAAAGTGCTTTAACACACCAACTCAATAATTTTTTTAATTACATAGTGATGAATATTTTTTACTAAACTTTCTTCTGATATCGTCAAGGCTTCTGAAGATATCTGTAAAATATTAAGAATTCAGTTTAAACGAACACTTTCTGGTGAGAAATTTTTAAACTTCGCTATTTTTTTTACTTGAAAGGGTTATTAATAAAGTTTACTTTCTGAAATTATATAAATTATTCTATTTTAGATTAATTATATGTTTTTATGCTGGATTGAAGTTACAAGTTCTGTAAATAAGATAAAAATTACATAAATGTCATGAAAAAGCTACATATATTCACGATTTTATTTCTTAAATAAAATATTATTTTTCATGCACAAAACTTCTTTTGTGTTAATAAATATAATTTAAGCATATTTCAATGAAAATAATACATCATTTTATAAAATTTCTGTGCTTGTCCTAAAATGGGTTAATCGTAGTATTATAATATATTTATGGGTAAAGCTCATATCTCGCTAACTATCGAAAAAACGTTAACCATCCCTTTAGAATTGCTTTCGCTGTCTCATTGGATTTCACGCTTATGACTGCTCACTTGTTTGATACTTCTGTTTTCAGTTCTTTGTTTTCAACACGAAAAGGAAACAATATTGGTTTTTTAGTTAACAATATTGGTTATCATAAATTAAAATAGATTTTTTAATAAATAATTACATATTTGATATTACATAACTTTATGCAAAGCCTATTTACAAAATCAATATTATCTACTTAATTAAAAAATGTCTTTATTGTCCGTCATCTATGTTATACCCTTCATTTCTTTTGCTTTGAATTAAATCACCCAAATTTTGAATAATCAAAACACAAAGCTCATTGTGTTGTGATTGTAGTAAGATAAAATTTGCATTAGCTCATTTTCTGAATGTTATGAAATATAGATTTAACTTTCATAACCTTTAATTAACATAGTTGATAAGATATAATGGTCATGGTAAGAGTAAAATTTGTAAAACTGTTTGAGGTGTAAATTTTCATCAGAGAAACGAAAATACTATGCAAATCCATTTTTATATTTATCATACTTGCTAGTTGGTGGGACACCTTACTAATTTTTACGCATGTGTGTTCCTCTAATAATAACGATTGAAACCTATTGTATAAAAAAAAAACATAAATTATTTTTATTTCGACTGTAGATTGTTTTGATGTAAATAGGATCCTTAATTTGTGGCTAACTACAATTATTGAGTAGTTTTGGACTTTATTCAAGAGATTTGAACTTTATTCTTAGAAAAGTTATTTTATTTCGAATTGGTATTGATGACGATTGTATTTTAATAATATACACAATATTAACCTTTTTATGACATTTTTTATTTTATAACTTTCCAAATCAGTATACATTCTATTTTTAATACTTGCCAGCATTTAAATAAGGTCGGTTTAACGCTTGATTTATATTTTTCTTTGTAGCAAGTCAAAACGAGGGTCCAGGATTATGTGCTCTACTCCTAACAGGATTTTCTTACCTTATCATCATCATCACATTTCCTGTATCCCTTCTGTTTTGCGTCAAGGTACTTATATTTTGATCTTGTTATGTTTTTGCATTTTGTTATTTTTTAGTTATGAAATAAATGGTGCTTATTCACGAACCATGTGAGTTCGCTATCAATTTGCTGATTTCTCTGACTTCATGCTTATGTTGTCAAAGATATGAACAAAACAATTATCTCAAATTCTCAATAGATGGGATTTTGTTTCGCCCGATTAGGTGGCATAAGCATTGTCTGATAATCCTTGTTTCTTTTTTTTAAAGGAAATCGTTTCCTAACTGAAAAGGAAATTAATATCTTAAATATGTAATTAAATTAAAAAAAGGTAATTTTGACATCTTCGCTATGTTTTTTTTCTTCGAAACAACCGCTCTTCTTACTGAAGTAAGCTTTAAAAATAGTATCAAAAGTATTAACATATTATCATTTATGATCAATGTTGTCAAAAAAAGTGGTGTTTAAAATCATGCCATATTTGTGTAAATCTATCTCAAATAGACGGCAGAATTTAAAAGCTTAGATCTTGAGTTAGCAGAACTAGCTCACATGTTTAAAATTTGCTGCTATTTAAGTCCACATTGTTAAGTCCTAGTCAGAGTTTCCGGACTTGTCAGGAAAGTCCGGCATCGGAGTTGAACATTTAAACTACCGTCTGTTGAGAAAAACTTAGTTCGCAAAAGTGATTACGTTCCCAGAAATGAATAAAATCACAGTAGTGAATGTGTTCATTTTGAAGCAATATATAATATTTCGCAAAAATCTGTCACATTTCATATTGTTATCAATATTTACTTTAGAAAAAGGTATTTAAATATAAACTTGCATTACTTTATCCTGAACGTTAAAGGAATAAATTTTCCGAATTTAAATTTGTCTACTATGAAAGGGCTAATGCTTGTTAAGCGTTCTAATTAAGTAAACATCGAACTCTAAAATCACATCTCAAACCACATGCCGAAATCGCACCTTGCAAATAATTTTTTTTCCTCGAAAAATATTATAAGTTTAAAAATAACCAGATAATATAGGTTTAGAGCATTCTTTTTTTTTTACAAAAAAAAAAGGTTTTAATAAGTTTATTTTCATAATAAACTGATATTTTCTTTACTACTTGGCTTTATTATTTTTTTAAGGTTCATGAAATTTTTTAACTGTTTTAATCACATTTATTAAATAAAATTCGTCGAATCTACTTATTTAGGTTGTTCAAGAATATGAACGTGCTGTAATTTTCAGATTGGGACGACTTATGAAAGGCGGGGCGAAAGGGCCAGGTAAATATATTAATTTTCGTCGAAATATCTAAAGCAATATTGATGTTTGATAAAGTTTACACGCTTTAAATTTTCATTGTATTATTTTCTCTGTATTAATTTAGTAGTAATTTTGCAATGACCTTTAATAGCTTTCGCTGTTACTAAATTCTATGGAGATCACTTACATATTTTATACCACAGTATGTAGTTACCTAGCAAAAACGCTCAAAACAAAAGCTTTTAAATATATTGTTAATAAAGGAAAAACATGATAAATGATCTTTTGAAAAATTCAAAAAGCCTAATTTCTTTTATCTAGAAACATATCATGGCCAAGCAAGCGAAGTTTTCGTTGTTTTCTTTTATATATAATACAAATTAGTGATGATTTCCCTTTTAAAATCTTATTGCCTCCTGATTTGATTTTAAATTTACAACAATTTTGACGAGGTATTTACAGTCCTGTCATTTACGTACCTAAATAAGTTTCTCATTAACAAAGTTTAACAAAAGTATAATCTAGATTTATGAATTACAGGATAAGTTAATCTAACCCACATAAGAATATGAATATATTCTACTAAAACCAAAAATCATATAAGTTAACCTCGTTCAAGAGTCGAAACCAGCTACACTACTGCTAACGTAAATGACATAAAAGCTTTAAATTTGCTGATCAATTGATGCTTTTAACTAAGTCTGACTTCAAGAACATGCAAAAGAAAACAGAACATCGTAGGTCTTGTGTTTAACTAACCAATACAAATCCAAGGAAAGAACATTTAAAAAATTTTATGTAGGGCTATTGATTAGTTTATTTTTAAGTGTGTCTTATTGAATTTAAAGTTACTTTTAAATAATTAAATACCAAAACATTAAAAAGAATTAAAGGAAGTCGTAATTATAATATCTTTACACATTTTTTGCAGGTATATTTTTCATCATACCGTGCATCGATACCTACTGTAAGGTTGATTTAAGAACAGTCTCCTTCGATGTGCCCCCGCAAGAGGTAAAATAACTATGTTATTAGTTATGTTTAGCGTATCATTAAAAAAAATCTGTTTTGCTTTAAAATTTTAAATTGAAGTAACTGTTTGATTTCGCAGGTATAGGAATAAAATAAATATATTAGTAGATACATACAGTACATGCACATATATAAAAGTATTTCTATAATGTAAAATTATGAATCATTTTACCTTCATGCTTCAAAATGAATTTATTACTTGATATTCTCTACGTAAAATGATTTTCTTGCTATTAACTAACTGCCATTAATTAGACAACAGGTTTTGCCTAGTTTCTGTACTGTTTTTTTTGTAAAAGTACTATTTAATTTCGTATGAAGTAATACAAATATTTGAACGAACATATATAAAAGTTTGAAAAAATAATGTACGCGAATATTTCTATTCATGTTTCTATTATATTCTGCAAAAAAAAAAATTTAAAAAAAAAAATAAAAATAAAAAAAATTTGAAAATACTCACAAAGATCGGCAGCAGAGATTCCAGGTGAAGTCCGTAAAACAATATTTAAACCTTAAATTACTAATCAACTCGTTATTTTACATTGTAACAAATGGATGATGGAATAAACTTGTTGATCTCATGTAAAATTATTTATAAAAATTTATTTTGAACAAAATACGAGTGTTACTCAAAGGAATATTGTGACAATTCTATTCTAACTTCGCCGAGCAGGTGGCTGTGTGGTTAGCGTGCCTGACTACTGAGTCGATGGTTGTGGGTTCGAATCCCGCTCAGGGCATGGATGTTCCTTTCTCCCTCTGTGTTCTAGGTCCCTTCTTCTGTGTGACTGTGTGAATGTGATCCGCCCTATAAACGGATTTGTGGTTGTGTGACGTGGGCGACGCTGCTCCACCGCCATGACTTGGCCATAGGTGCCCACTGGGTAACGAGAAGAGAGTAGCAGTTCTGGCACTCCTGGGCAATGGGACAATACATCCCAAATGTCTGCCATTAAAAAAAAATACTAACTTCAAATTTAACATTTGAACATTTGTTCAGCCTATGTTTGATAAAGACTATTGAGAATTCACATGAACAAATTTATATAGCTCAGTTAAAAAATTAATTGAAATGATATACAAATGAGTTCCTTGTAATAGCTTTCTAGTACCAGAATGTTCTCCAAAGAATCTTCCTGTCATAAGATGTTTATAAATGTAAACTTCCATTTTACTTTTTGGTTGTCTCGTTCTGAAGATCATTTTATATCATTCTGAAATAAATAATATCTGTTTTGATCGCTTTATTCTCAACTTCCTATCTTTAATTGTCTGGGAATGTCTAATCATAAATTAACTTTGTACTTAATTTTATTATTTATAGCACTCAAGACAACTTCAATTACTTACGAAGGATGTTATAACACCTTGTAAGAACAAATTTTAAAAAAAAGGAAAAATATGTCATTTGTATGTACTCTAATAATAAATCAAAACTCACACTTCCCAAACATTATTCATAAGCCTTAATGTGTGCTACCACATATGTTTTAATGAATAATTTATGCGATGAAAGCAATTTGTTTAGTGGAAACGCTGAAAAGCAAACTGTAAGCATTTATGCGATAGGAAAATATTTAGAATTATTTGACTTTCATTTTACTTTAAAATTTGTAAAAGAAAAAATACATCAGTAACTACATTTTAAACAAGTTAAAAATAATATTTTAAATTCATAGATCTGAACGCTTGTGCCTAAAAGTATAAATGAAAATATCAAATAATAAGCAAAGTATCTCAAACTAAGTCGTATTCTATATCCAATTAAAAAATTTATTAAATAAAAATATAGTTTATCCACTGTAAGAACTCCCCTCGCCACAAAGTCTGAAGCCGTCTGCTGCTATGGAAACAAGAATAGTGCATTTCAAGGAGGGTAGCTTCTTTTCAATATAGGGCTAACCAGTAGACAGAAGAAAAAGATTTATTTTCTTACTCCGATCTGAACCAAAACGAATTCTAAACAATGGCCCCATACGCCTACTTGAAATAGTTATACCTCGTTACCATAGTCACCGCCACGGGTCCAGACGAATGACTAGGGGAGTTCTTACTTTAGACAAATTATACTTCTAAGGTAGAAGAGTTCTAGAAAACTGAATAATACTTATCTCTTCTATTATAAGACACAATCCATGATGTTTGGCAATGCTTGTTGAAGATACATAATTTTAGAATACTTCTAGAATAAGGAAGTGTAACATATATACATATTAGGGGTCTCAAAATAAAATTAAATCAAGGAAATAAAAAACAAAAATGCTACTGAAATCTGAGGAATCTTTAGCGGGAAAAGATGGGAAGGAAGCATATCAAAACATGTTTGACTGCCCGATGAAGCTATGAAGTGCTTCCAATAACCACCTTTCAACTCCTTTCTGTTTACTCTGGCAATCAAACAGATTTTGATATTTTCAGTTCACCTTCCTCAGTAGTTGTTCGTTAAATTTTGATAACACTCATGTATTTCACGTTACTTTTTAGGACCCTGGATAAGTATATTTTATTGACTTTATTTTCTACAAAGTCTGAAAATATATGTTAAGCATGGTCATTACAGAACACTCTGTACAACGAAATGTCACTAAACTACTATTATTATCCTTTACATGATTACTATTACTGGAGTATTGATATAATGTACTCTCTTTATTGAACGTTATGTTTGCATTATACTGTTTTTTTTTTAATTTATATTTTTATTTATTCTTAAACTGCGAGTAAAATGTTACAATAACTTTAATCCATAATCGATCATTATTATATATTTTATTATTATTCTACAACAATTTAGTTATGTTTATATTATACTTTAACTAATTTTAACTAATAATTGAAGATTATTTTGAGATAGAATAATATAGCTGAATGTTTTGTGACTCATGAATACTTTCATTTAAAGTATTCGTGAGACGCAAAAGTGTTTTTATTTGAGTTACGGTTATTGGAAAACATTTTGTAATCAAGGCACTTGTCTACAAAAGATCTGTGATTGCATCAAATGTATATTTACTTTTTAGGAAAATCAATGATGAAAAAACATTTCTTTTTGATTCTAAGAGAGAATAAATATTCAGCTAATCAAGATGTGTGTTTTAAAATATGCGCGAGCACGTCGAAAGTTGTTTCAGTTGTACGCATTCTTTGTAGAAACATATCTTTGTAGACAAGAATGAATAAATAAATTTATCGAAAGAAAAAAATTATTGTAAATAATTGTTACCCTCTGACGCAGGATGGGACACCAGTGTCCCTTTTATATATTTTTTCTGACGCTCTAATTATTAGTAAGATTATTAGTATTAGTTGACGCTCTAATTGTTAGTATTAGTAAGATATTTCGGTGTTTCTTTAGTTACAGAATTAGCAAATAGTTACCTAAATATCATACTCAATTATCTGAACTATATTTGGACTAAAATATAAAATACCCATAGAAACACTTTTTTTTTCATTCTTAATCAACAATTTATCAATAATTGATTTTGTAAATTAAAAAATTCCAATGATAAATAACTTATTCTCTTAGATATGTAAATAACAGCAAATAAGAGCAAAGAGAATTATTGTTTGAAAGTGAGCCGTGTTTGGAAGAGTTGTCCTTTAGAAGATGTTTCATAGCCAAAAACTCTTAAAATGCTACATATAATTTCACCTATTATTTTCACCCATTTAGTCCTAAGTTAATACAAAATTAAAAAAAATCATAAAAATTATGTTTAATAAAAATTCTATCTCAAAGGGTTAAGAAATTTACAACTCTAAATCAACATACCTTTTCAACTTAAATTTTTGAAAAAGATTCTAAAAATTTATTGTATTAATGAGTTTAGACTTATATATCTTATTTCGAGTTTTTCAAGAAGGTTATATCATATTATTATATTATATATCTTATTTTGAGTTATTCAAGAAGATTTTCCCCGCATAAAGAGGTTTAAGGTTTTATTACCATCATCACAGCTATTGAAAATTTTTATTCATTCCAACTGTTAGGTTAGCTTCACTTTCCAACTTTATTATATGTAAGAAAAATTGAAATTTTAATTATGTTGTTCCTTCTAATGGCACTTGGACAACCTAAGCTCGCCAGTCATGACCATGCGCCTTTCATTTGACAAGAGAGCCCCTCAAGGTAGAAACTACGTATTAGATCAGAACCACACGAATAGATGGTATCACAACTCATTCATGAGGCCATTTCCTCAATTTAGACATAGATCTGCAGAGGAAGGAAAAAATTTTTCCAGATCCCTGTACCCATAGAATTGCTAAGCGACCGATGACTGGACTTTCGATTCCGCAGATTTTACGACCACGTATATCTCATATACTTGATGGGTTTCAACGGAGTCGAGGTTTCGAATCCCTGCTCCTCCAGACCGGAGCCCGATTCTCTAACAGCTAGGCTACCGCGGTCCTTAACTTTAATTATTAACTTTGTTTATACTAAAAAATACTTTGCCTCGTTTCACACTAAAATTGGAACTCTCCAATTTATACCTGAAATGGATTACGGATTGCTAATGATTGCAAGATAACAAAATTTAACGAACAAATTTAACCACGTTTGTTAACATAGTTAAATACGAACAATATGCAGATATGAGCTATATATTATAAATACCTATCTCAACCTAAGTAGGAAATACAAAATTTTTAGACAATGCATATAGGCTTTGTACTTTGTGTATAGGCTATAATTGCCATATCTGCAAAATTATAAACGAAGAGTGCCGGCCAGGTGGCCGAGTGGTTAGCGTGCCTGACTGCGAAGCCATTGGCTGCGGGTTCGAATCCCGCTCTGGGCATGGATGTTTCTCTGTGTTGTCATCTGATGTGTGAATGTGTATGAATGTGGCCCACCCTATGAACGTGTATTTGTGGCAGTGTGGCGTGGGTAATGTGGCTCGCCTCCGTGACTTTGGTTCACAGGTGCCCACTGGGTAACGATAAATGAGCAACACTTCCGACATCTTCTAAGGCGAAGAACGAAAGTTCAGTGCCTGCCATTATTAAAACAAGAAAAAAAAAGAAGAAGAGTGAACTAAAAGTTTTTTATAATGCTATGTTTGTTATTTATTAACAGTCAGTTACCTAATGCGAGTATACAAAAATTACTATGTTCATATACTCCTAAAATTAACTGTGTAAAACTAATTTCTATTTGAACCTCCGTCGTGGTGTTGTGGTTGAAAAAAAATTACGTCGATAATCACCTACATATCTTATAAAATTGATTTTAAACACAGATTCTGTCGACAATTCGATTAAACTATCGGTACGTTAAAAATGTTTTCTCTTCATCCAGATTTTGTCGAAGGACAGCGTAACCGTTGCAGTGGATGCTGTGGTCTATTATAGAATCAGCAACGCAACCATCGCCGTGTCGAATGTGGAAGATTACGGACACTCAACTCGGCTTCTGGCTGCCACAACTCTCCGTAATGTACTCGGAACTAAAAACCTCTCTGAAATCCTCTCTGAAAGGGAATCCATCTCACATGTAATGCAGGTATTTACGAGTCTTTTAGATTTCGTAATTTTATATACTCTTCCTTTTTCTATTATATTCTCTTATATTACAAAATGAATAGAGTGCATATTTTTCATTCACATATTGCTGCAACAGAGATATGCAATCATCGTAACAAACTTGAGCCATTTGCGGTCGCATTAAGTTATTCATAATTTTCATACATTTTATTTTTGTTGAACGAACATAATAAGACAGATGAAGAAAAAAATATTTTTAACAAAAAAAAACGCTATTACAATTAAACGCAATTTGTAAAACATTATTCTGCAAACCTCTAAAGTACATTGATTTAAGTGAACAGCATTGTTCAATACTATATGATCAGTATGATTCTTTTCTGTCTTGATTATAATAGACATACGGATTGTTAAAGGTTAGTTTCCGAATTGCAATTAAAATGAATGTCATCCTAACACTAGTCATGATTTTTCGTAATTACATTTACTTACGAAAATAAATCATTTATTTAAAAATGAATAAAAATGTAGAATTTGTGAAACATACAAACATATAAATTACCTAATAAATACATAAAATATATAGAATATTTAGAGAAAAAAATGCATGTCTCACGATAGGATAATTTCAGTAGAGATGCTGGACCTTAATTTTAACAATTGTTTACAAGATACAACCCAGTTCATATCATAAATGCAGTGTAGAATTAATAAAGTATTGATTTGTGTGTTTGTCCTTTTTTTTCATTTCTTAAACCACAAATTTTCGAAGCTTGGCCCTGACCCAATAGCGTGGTCATTGTATCACCTCTTAGGACATTCCTTTTACACCCGAACCATCTTCGCAAGAAAAGCATATTTGCTGTGCGTTATGCTGCATAGAAACACTAAATCTTAGATAAGCCTATGAATCGAACCCATGACCCTTCGGTTTCAACGAGAAGTGAGGGCTATTATTAAATCAACCGTGCCACTAGAATGCAACAGAGCTTACCAGTGCTATATTTTATGATAAATTACACTAAGGATCTTAGCTGTTTTCAAATTTGCAATCAGTTTCTCTCTCAAACTACAGTTTTTCTTTAAATTATATTTCTTGTCGAAGTTAAAAAAAAATTATATACCACAATGGGTCACATAAATGTCGCAACAAACTTCTAGGGAAGGAACACATCATTAGGATTAAAAATGCATCTGAACCCTTGACAGAAATGTCGTCATACGCCACTTGGGGCACTTCTCTATAATGAACTGTTTCTTCATCCGCTTCTGAACAATTCGACTCTACGACTCTCGAAGCGACCCCCTATTATATATAACGTTTTTTTAAACTTGTAGATTTCGACAAAAATATAGACTAAAAATATCATTTTTAAAAACAAATTTGGAGCTTAAAGAGCATAACTGATTTTAGATTTGAAATCCCCACACACAAATTAGACAAGATCAAGTACTCGTATAAAGCCGTCATTATTGGCGTTAATATTTGATAAATTTTCAGCTATTCTTTATGATAAATGTTCCGCTTTGAAATTATCATTTAAACTGAAATGAAATAAAACTCTGGATTTCATCTCAGTAAATTATTTACCCAAGCAATGAAAATGTCTCTGTTAACCAAGTTTTTATCTATTTCAGTCTAGTTTAGATGAAGCTACAGACCCATGGGGAGTTAAAGTGGAAAGAGTTGAAATGTGAGCCTTTAAAATTTGAATTAAAAATTTTCATATCTAAGTGTGATTTTATTCTCTTATTAAAATTGGATGTTTTTGTTTGGATATAAATAACTTTTAATGCTCTTCAATTTCACAATTCTTTAAATATAATGAAGTAAAAAATGACATGCAAATTTACAATTTAAAAACATAAATGATAAAACCCCGTTGTTTTGGCAACAATTTTTATAGCACGAGTAAAACAATGCCTAAAAAATTAATTATTTGTATGTGTTGCTTCTGCGCGTTTTTCTCATAACATTTTACAGAGGAATGTCTTGTTTTGTCGTTCATTAAGAAATAGTTGTGCTTTTTTTCCCCACGATAACAAATCAGACTTGCCAACTCTTTGGATAAAAGCCAAGGGCTCTGGATTTTATATTAGTGTTGGCGCACCGAATTTTTTCCCCGCATATGTGTCTGATTGATTAATACTTAATTGATAATTAGAAATGACCCACATACGTCTCAATGTTAGCTAATTTTTTGTCAGCATAAAGAAATCATGAATATATTATTTTAATAGAATTTTAGGTTAGTATAATTTTTTTTTCTGAAATAATTAGATTTGTACTAAATTTCAGTTTTCTTCAGCGGATATAAGAAAAAACATTGTTAAAATAAATTTGCAATCTTCTTAAATAATTTTTTGCCTAGACTTTTAGACTTGCCTTAGTACTTTACAGTTAACCGAGGGCAACCAAAAAGTCGTCAAAAGCGTAGAACTCCGCCTACTTTTTTGGATGTTTTTCAATTTTTTAAACACGTAAAAAAATATATATATATAAATAAATAAATAAAAAATTTAAAAATAGTTTCATTTTCTTGCGTCCGGCAAACCGAAAATTATATTTAGCTTTAGCGGCGAAATTCAAGACGAGCGGTGTTGAATCCCTTTAATATATTTTTATTTAGTTCTTATTTTCCATCAAAAACATTTCTAACTTTAAAAAATAGATAAACAAGTAAATTTCTTAAGTTAAATGCCTTAATTTATGAGCCATTTTAATTACATTGCATGCAGCATCATTTGATCATTTATATTAGACATTAGTGTTATTAAATAATAATGCTGTTGAATTGCTGTTGTAATGAATTAATAATGCAACAGATAAATTATTTTCAACAAAGTATAATGATTCATTATTAATGCGTATTAAATACAATGGCGAATCATGAAAGTGATGCATATATCTATTTGCAGCAAAGACGTCCGTTTGCCTGTACAATTGCAACGAGCAATGGCAGCTGAAGCCGAAGCAGCCAGGGAAGCTAGAGCAAAAGTAAGATTATTTACTATCTTTAACAATAATAAAATAATTCATAATAATTCTTTGCTTACAATAATGTATTTAATATTAATAATATATAATAATAAAAATTATAGAAAAAATAACAGGCATTTTTTTTCTGATTTTTATGGCTAAAAGCCTACGCAGAGTCGGACATAAAAATATATTCTTTATTATTTTTGATATCAATAAAATTTTTCATTACAAAAAACATCCACAGTTCTTTATTTTGTTGCACACAAAATAAAAAACAAAAAGCACAACATCTAAAAACTTTTGATCTAGTGATAAAATTGTCACGAGCTAAGATCCAAATTTAGTAGGTTGAGGATCAACTTGAAATATGCTACTTTTCTTGTATATTGTGCGAATGGTATTTTAACTTATGAAATCAGGTTACGTACGTTGTACGAACGAACATACCTTATTTACTGTTAGTTTTTAGTTCTTGATTCTTTAAGTATTGGTTGGTAGCCAGAATCTTTATAATATGATCCCATTAAGTAAGAAAGCCTTCGAAAATTTGAGCCTTTCATTCGCAATTTAGTTTCTTTTTTCTTTTCTTTTTTTTTTCGTAAATTTTTTACGTATTTTGCTGTACCTGTTCCATTTAATAGACTCGAAAATTTTTTGAACCAATTCATTTTTCAAAATGCAATTCAATGTTAAAAAGAATTTTTTTATTGAATTAAAAATTTATTTACTTAATTTAACTTGTGTGATTTTAACTGAGAAAATTCAATCCCGTTAAAATTTTCTCAAGAAAGAAAATTTTTCAAATAATACTTTTTTTTAATCTTTATTACTCAGAAACTATTTGGACACTACTGCTTAAATTTTTTACTTTGCCATTTAAAACTATGTTGTAGAAATTAAAGTTAAAGTTTTATGCTTTGCAACTCAAAAAATTTTCGATTGGTATTTAATAAATTTTTAAAAAATTATAAATAATTTTTAAAAATTATATTTGCGCATTTTGAGCTGTGTCCATTTTTGTAAGCACACATTCTGTGTTATGTTCCGTATAAAAAGCTCATCGACGATGTGTTCTTTATCAACGTTTATAAAATAAAACACACACATATTAAATAGAAATAAATTCCTTTGTAGGTAATTGCTGCAGAAGGTGAACAGAGGGCCTCGCGAGCATTGAAGGAAGCTTCAGAAGTCATACAAGACTCTCCAGCAGCTCTGCAACTGCGCTACCTGCAGACCCTCAATTCCATAGCGGCTGAAAAGAACTCAACCATTGTGTTTCCCTTGCCTATGGAACTATTCAGGGGCATGCAGAGGAACAAATGAAAAGCAAATAAAAAAAACACGCATTCATAAGGCTTAACATGTTTAAAGCCTTGTTGGCACATGCTTTTCGTCTCACTCGGGCCACGAACACAATTTAGGTATGTTGCGCGAGCAGCATCGGAATGTGTACAGAGAGGAGTTGTACGAAAATGTATATTTCACAGAACATCAATTTGGTTCCTTTTGTCTTATTTCTCTCCCACCCTGCACACTATTTGTGAGCAAACATGTATAATCCTTTCTACTTTCCTTTATCCACCTGTGAATGTGTATTTTGGAGTAAGATGGTAAAGGCAGGGAGGTTAATATTCCAAATGTATAAAAGAAAATTCGTTTGTAGACGGACGAAAAATTTACGCGAATGTTTAAGCTTTTTGCCTTATATATCTAAAGTGGAGCATGCCTCAACTTCGTCTTTTTGCTCAAATGTTAATTAAGCTTTTTAATACTTGCTGTTACAATTCCAGATTAGAATAGGAAAATGGGTGTCTTATAATTTTCAGCAAATCAAAATTCATCCAATTCTATGAAACCCAGGGCCTGATTTATCATAAGACCTGAGAGGCTGAGGCCTAGGGTCCCTAAGTTTCTGAGGTCCCTCTAAATGCTACAAATATTCCTTCATGATTTTCTTTATTAATTGACGATTTGAATCTGGAGTTAACCAATAGTGAAATAAATATTAACTCAAATTTACAAATATACCAAAAAAAATTTATGATATCAATAACTGAAAAGCATTTTGTAACTAAATATGTAAGTTTGGTCTGAAATTATGGTTAAGAAGGCCTCCCAGAGTTATGTGCCAACAGTCGCCGGATTTCTAAATCAGGCCCTGATGAAATTATTATTTATTGAACGAATATGTTTTAATTCGTATTGTTGTAGTTAAGTCTAAACTAGATCATATGACCTTTTTGTGGTTTTAAATTAATTCTCGTTAAAAACACGTACACTGTACCTCGCGTGTATAAGATATGTGCAATATTTTTACATATCATAGATATTGTGTATCCTATCACAAAAATTAGTTAATTCGAAATTTTGATCTAAGCAGATGTTTTATAAATTTTTCTGAAGAAGTATTATTTCACGTATTTTATAATAACAAAATTACATAAACAATCTAGTTGAGTTTTGAATTCAATTATTGTGTTTAATTTCTCAATTATTGTGTTTTAATTTGAATATATTTTATTATGTAAGGTATTCCTGTAATCGCCTCCATTAATAAACACTTTTTGAATCGTTGACAAAAAGATTACACATTATGGTTCGTAAATAAGTACTTAAGCGAGTAAAAAAGAAGAAAACTGATCAAAATCTATCGCTAGAGAAGAAGACAAAATTAAAAGCATCCAAACAGGTTTGATTGCCTGGTGAAAGTTGGAGGTGTTTCTAACTATAGCTTATTATTTATTAAACATTTATTATTGGTTAAAAGTTAGTTTTCCTTTTTGTAACTAAAAAAGAGGCAGTGCATAAACAAAAACTATAGAAAGGAAATGGTCTTTTACCTAAATAAGTAGGGAATATCGGGCAAAAGTCCATGTGTCCCTGCCAGGTTATTATTAAAATTATTATTACTCGAATACATTACGATAACTAAAAATGTACGCCTTCCTAATTAAGGTAAAATTAAATATGAATCTAACTTGTTGCACCAAGAAATTACTTTCAACTTATACTAATATACTATATCATATTTGTACTAATTAAAAACAATCTACATTTACGATTACTTATTAAATAATCGCAGTTTATTTACTAAAAAATAATCATTGTCATTGTCTACAATGTCTAGGCAATGATTGAAATGCTAGTCATCTGCTGGTCAAATTTTAGCATTGTACAGAATTCCGGATTTTCAACGTTGCTGGTAACATGCATATTATAAATATCAAAATCTCTGTATGTTGTAGCTAATATTTCAAGGTGATAGAATTGTAATTATTCCACATAGCAAAAAACTTTGAAATTATTTTTACCAAACATTGTAGATTTGAAAAAAATTTAGGCATAGCCCTTTTTTAGCGGATGAAATAATTTAATAACATTTTTTGCTCGGATCTTTTAGGTACAATGGTGCTAACGAGTTCGTTTCTTACTTTTTATAAATAAAAATTCGCTTTTACGATATTATATCTTTCAATGTAAGTACAATGACTTGTAAGCTTTAGTCAATTTCAGAGGAGAATTTTTACAGCAGTTGGAAATAGAATTTTATGCGAATTTTTGCTGCATGAAATACGTCAAAGATCTTATTGGTGTACACGAATAATAATTAGACGATATTCTTAAGATACAATACTTTTCATGAAAACATATTCATAAGTGGTCTCTAAACTGTAAATAATATAATGTGTGCTAAAACCTTCAAATTTATGCTAATATTTTATTGTTAGAAATTGGTGTTCACGTTGAACCACAACAACTTGCAAATTTGCTTCAACCCTCATACGGTTCTAAGTTGAACCATATTATTATGCAAATTAAGCTATTCGATTAATCTGATTAAATGGTTCAATTTGAAGGACAGCATGGTTCAATCGTATTAAGTTTGCAGCACACGAACACGAAATTAAGATTCATTATGGCTCAGTGTGGAAAAAATTTCTTCGAGAGCATACAAATTCTATAAGAAGTTGATGAACTTACGGTACTAACATAATGCACTAAGTAGAACCATATAGTGTAAATCAAACCATTTGATTATCTGATACAATGGTTTAACTTGAAGAAATACATGGTTAAGTTAAACATCGTATTAAGTTTGCTGCAAACGAGCACGAACCAATTTCTTTGAAAGCGTTCAGAATCTGTCAGAAGTTGATGAACTTACGATACTAACATACGGTGCTAAGTTGAACCATATTATTGTGCAAATTTAACCATTTAATTTATCAAATGCAATGGTTCAACTTAAAGAAATACATGGTTCAAATAAACACCGCATTATGTTTGCAGCAAACAAGCACGAAATCAAGATTCATTATGGTTTAACGTTTCACCAATTTCTTCAAGAACGTACAGATTCTGTCAGAAGCTGATGAACTTTCCATAGTTTTCATGAACAAATATTGATAAATGTGGTATCATCATTCATTCATTAGTTATTATAACAATTATACTGTAATTAGTTATAATACTTAGCAATTATCGATAACTAATACGTAATTATTGGTAGTTATAACTATAAATATCGATTGAATATTAATGCCTGAAAATTATTAATGAATTATTTATTTATGTTAATATTAACTCATTTGATTACATTCTTTGCATATAATGCTACACATGAAAACATATTCAGAAGTGATTTTTTTCCTAACTTAGTGCCAAAACATTATGTTTTAGGTAAAAAATTTCAGAGTTTATCAGATATTACGACAAATTACTTCCTATAGTTTAAATGAACATATATATTAAATATGACATTATTATTAATCAATAAATTAAGAATGTATTAGAATATATCAATATTTTAACCAGTAATTATTAAATATAATAATATAACACTACTGATAAGTAATTATTTTTAATCCACGATCTTTTGATATCATTTATAACTAATTTATAATAATTTATTGTTAAATATTTATAAATGTGATTGAGTAATAAATTGGATGTAATAATTACCAACTATATTAATAAAATATAATAATTAAAAATTATCAATATGTATTAGTGAGTTTCGTTTGTCTTTTTTATAAATTTTTATTAGAGTATGTTTTGAAATTTAGCACGGCAGCATTTTTGAAGCTCATGTTTGTATAATTTTCATTTTGTAGATTATTGTTTTACTTTCTTTTATATGTGCCTTGTATTGATCTCAAAATATACTGATATTATAATGCTTGAAATCTCATTGTTACTGAAAAATATTAGAATTAAACGTGTCATATAAAAATAAAAATTCAAAATTTTTGTTTTGTGCATATATTTGCAATGCTCGCAGATTTTTTCAATTTCATTCTAATTGCGAATGCGTGTGAGAGCAATAAACAACGTTAAAAAACAGAGTTGTAATAATGGTGATGAGGGTCTCGCATTCCTATGAATAAATCTTATTTAATAACCGGTGGTAAACAGCGCGACACAATTCTTAGATTACAACTATCAACGTTCAAACCCGTTGTCTTGTAATTTTGCAACCAACACAGAAGACAAGGGGAATCCTTGATCGAGAATTGGGACAAACCAGCCTTCGTGGAAGACTTTTTAATGGAACTAACCCGCATTTGCGTTACAAGGAAAATCACGAAAATCTTTCACCGTTAGCCAGACGGCGAGAGGATTCTAATCCATGATCCGTCAATTACTTAGTATATTTTATGTTAGCAATGTGGTCGGTGCTAACAGGGAGCAAAATTCGTATAAATTGGGAAGCGAATTTGGAAGCGAACGCTCAAACTTATGAGCCACCTTAGCTTTTCTTATAAATATTGATGTCTATGACTATAAATTCTCTTTATAACTATAAATTTTCCTTATAACTATAAATTCCCCTTATAACTACATATTTCTGTAACTATAAATGCTTAAGAGATGTGAGCGATAGTTATTTCAAAAATGTTATACGTTATAAATTGTGTTATTATCGGTGATAAACTACCCGTCCCTATCTGATTTATGGCTGTATCAAAGTTTATTTTTGCAACCATGTAAGTTTTAACCCAATAAAGAAACCAAAGGTTCTGAATCGAGATATGAGACAATCTTGCCTTCTTAGCAAACTTTTCGGATTGAACTAACTCCGAATTTGCGTTATAGAAAAAAAGAACACGAAAACTTCTCAAGGTTAGCCCGACGGAAAGAGGACTCTAATCCGTGTCTCGTCTTCCGCTGTTGAATAATTTTTCCTTATTTGGACCGATCGTGAGCTTTTAGTCGTATATGAATGGAGCTACATCTGGCAGGATCCGAATCTTCGGGGCACATTGACAACAGAACAGTTCATACAGAAATCATCTTTAATTGTAGTCATTAAAGAAGTACTACCATTTAATAATTACTCAATACCTGGCCTACCAAGTCATATTTTCATTCCTTAGTTATCACCAGGACCCGGTTTTTAGCCACAAGAACCAGTACTAAGTACACGTCCCGACATATTTTACCGGGTATCTAGTGCAGAGTAAAATTCATTAATGTTCGATACAAACATAATTATAATTTAAGTAGGCTTAAAATTATTCATGTATGTATCTTTGGAAATTGAAGTATTTCATCAGTTTCTTAATAATCAAGCTGAAATTTCTGTTGAGGTACGACATATTTAACTTTTGTGAAGAATTTTAATTCTGGAAAATCTTGGTAAAATGGGAAACTTCGGAAATGGGAAATCTAAGGCTAAAAACTAGTTTAACTAAATTATGTAATATGATAGTAAAATAAATATAAAATTAGAGAAAAGGACATATATATTGATATTTTTTAAAGTTATCAAAATCATGATGGAAGAAATTCACAGATAACAGCAAGGAAAATCTGGATGTGTATTACTGTTATTCTAATTTTGCTTCCATATGCTATATATGCACATGCTTAAATATGCTATATTTTTTTTAATGTAGATGATTAAAAATTAATGGTCGTGTTGCTAAAATATTTTTAAAAATCCTCCATTTAACAGAAACTGCATTAATTAACGCTATTAAAAATTAAGTAAATGAAATAAAATTTTCATTTTTATTAGAAGTCTCCACTTCATTGAAAAGTTTTAAATCAATCATTCTAAATCCGCAATGTCCCTCCAAATTTACTCTATAAACCATTTTTTTTTTTAAATTTAGTTAAAGGAAATATCTAAAAATGAGACAAATGTTTTTATTTATTTTAAAGCAACAAATTTTATTAGAATTTTATCTAGTAAAATGGAAAATAAAATTTTTATATTGTTTTGCATAAATGTTATAATAGCCGACCTGGTTCAATATTAAATTTCCACGGGGTACCCGGACCCGGCAAAATTTTTAGTGTTGGTAATCTCTAGCAGCCATATCATTTATGTCTTACTGCCACGAGATTAACCTTAGGTTTTTTTTTGTTTTTTTTTTTGTTGCTTTTTTCTCTTAAGGCTCCAGATAATACGAATGGGGCTTAATTTCATTCAGAATGGAAAATTTCTCCTGATAGCTCATTACACTTTACTGCTTCGTTCGCAATGGCAAGGATAAGAAGATAACAGTTTATTGATTTTAAATACACTTGAATACACTTGTTCAGCACTCATTATCGTATTCTTCAAAATATCTTTGCAACCTAACCTAACATGTCTTTTACAACGCAATAACCTAACCTAAACATGTTATTAACATAGAGTACCTAAGTAGTTAGGTTAGGTTAGTATCTAACCTAAAAATGTAAACTTTACCTAACCTAACCTAAACATGTCTTTCACAAAGCTTGAAATTTTCCCGAACATAAAAGATATTACCTTGCGCATTTTTTTTCTCTTTTTTTTGGTGTGTGTGTGTAAATGAAGAAAAAGGCGTTTGCTTACATTTTTCAACGGTCATTTATGCGTAAAGAAAAGTTTCTTAGGCAAATGTTTCCCACAGCTGTTTGTCACAGTGACGATTTGCTACACTAAAGTTCTATACCACCTCATTTGTGCCCTGCTCTGCCAAATTCAGCGCTTTCACATAAGACGTTTGATGCATGCTCATACTCCACAGAATGAAGCAAGCGATCGACCTAGTCAACCAATTAAAAAGTTGTAGTTTAAAGAGAAATCACCAGTTCAGAATAATTCTGTTCCCTGACGTTAATAATTTATTAAGTTCCACAGGATACAATGAGAATTCTTTCACATACGAATGAAAACCAGATTGGTGGAAATATTTATTCGCGAAAAACTAGCAAAGAGTGTTTTTTTCGCATACCCGAAAATTAAAATCAGTGGGAATGGTACAAGCAGTACTGGGGGCAGCAGTACACGCAAAAGATTCAGAGATGCGAGTGAGAACTTGATTAGTTAAAAATATTTTGGACTCGAAAACTGTGCCAATAAATTTTCCGCTTGTATTTCCGAATTTTCTTAGACTACAGTCCAAATTACTCTTAGCACTTTTGATCTGGAAAGAATAAGCGACGCATTAACAGAAATGACCCACCAGCGAAACAAAAGCGTTTATGTGGTTATTGTTCAGCTCTTAAGTTAATGAACAAACAACTAATAGTAAAGCTCAGAACTAGACATAAAATATATTGCTTAATTATTGAATTTCTTACTAAAACAATTATGTTGTTCCTCTTATTGCGCTTGTAGTATAGGACCAGGAGGAGAGAGGAATGTCGTCGCGACAGCAATATGGCTGAGGGTTGAATGCGTTGTTCAATATGAAAAAAAGATTATAACTATGTACAACTTCTATTATTGGCCACATTTATTTTTCTTTCATTCTTAGAAGAAAAGAGAAGAAAAAAAATCATTTTGATTAAAAAAAAAGTTTATTTTTTCCTATGTTTGATAATTTTTATCAAAAACTGCAACTTTAACTGTCTAATATTTTTTTCTGACTTCTTTTGTTGTCAAACTATTTTTTATCGGCAAAATCTTCCTTTACTCTTCAACACTGGTTATTTACCCTACCTGTCGGAATCTTGTCTGTGTGAAGCATTGACCATTCGGGAACGTTTTGTTAGTCTTATCTCCCTTCAATTGGACGTAACATTAAAAAAAAATCTCAATATGATGTCCAGATCGATCCGGGCTGAAACGCGAAGCCGAGCAAAAGATGATATCAAGCGTGTTATGCAAGCTATCGACAAAGTTCGTAAATGGTAAGTATTTATTTGGCTTTGTTTAAATATAATTTTGTTCAAAATGAAATTTTTTTAAAAAAGTCAATTAACTACCGTTTTTTTGTTGTAAGGTTTTAAAAATGAAATACAGTCCTTTCTGTTTAATTCAAGTTTGACCTCTACCTTTGCTGCTCTTTGAAAGAACTTATGTTTTTTTTTTCTGAAATATTATTTATAATATTCTTAATTAAATTTGCTTTTAATTCAATTTAGTTATTAATAATGAAGTTTGATTTGACTTAGAATAAAATTTGTGAATAATCTCTGTCTCCTGTTTGAGGGAAAATTACGACTGAAGCTTGATCGGAGTTTGATGTCTGTCTGTCTGTATTTTAATCTTTAATTTAAATTTTGTTATAACTATGCTACTGCAGCTGAGTTTTATTATTAATTTACTAGAATTAAATTTGTTTTGGTTATTTTATATTAAAAAATTATAATTGCCATTAGAAAGTCAATATTAACTGACATTTTAATTATAAATATATTTAATTAGAAGAAAGTCCGTCTTATTTATAAAACGATAATGTATATATCTTTATTTATAACCTTTTAAATTTAAAATATTAATTGGATATTTCCGTATCGGGATCTCTCACGCCAACTACAATCTCCAAGATGCCAAATAGAATTTAAAATTGCAAATTTTAAAAAAAATATGTATATAGATGTTTGACAGGGGGTGACTATGAGTTATACCAGAGGTGGGGAACCTTTTTACCATTAGAGGCCACATTTAAATTAGGCAGCAATAAGAGAGGCCGCATAAGCTGATTGACCTAAGAAAGTGACTTTTGTGAAATTATTATAGTTTTTCTATAGATTTAACAATTTATTGCATTATATAGAAAAAATAAAATATAATACTACAAAATTTTAAATATAATATACATATAAAATAATATAAAAATATTATAAAAAAATACAATAAAAAATATTTTTTTATTCACTAAGTTAGTGACTTATTTGGCTTTGTTTTTTGTTTGACAGTAATTGTATATTTGGATCAAGCTTCGTAACACACAGCTTTAATTGATCCTCTAAATGTGCATCTGTAATTTGCGTTCTTAAATTTGTTTTTATTTTTGACATGAGAGAAAATGTTGTCTCGCAACAGTAGGTACTTCCGAAGCAGGAAAGTAAACGGCGAGCATGTTCTCGAAGGCATGGATATTCAACAGCATTTTTCCAGATTTCTATGGGGTCCTTTTTAGCGTTAAAAAGGGATTTGATGATACTATCTTCCCCTAAATCAATTAACTCCATTTGTAGTTCTGCAGGAGCCTCGGATATAACTATTAAATGTGGTTCAAATGCCAGTTTCATAGCAGGAGTGTGCTCGTCAAAATCAGAAAATCTTTTAGTATACTCTTCTATTAAACAATCCAAGACACCTACATATTCATCGAATATTTTATTTTCACAGTTTTGCTCATTTAACATTTTAGCTAGCTCTGGGAAGTGTTGTGCAGATATTTCCGATCGACAAAGCAATGTTTTGAAAAATGATAATTTTTTAATTATTTCAATGTCACTAAATGGTTTGTCCCTTTTTCCAAGTATATGTGCCATTTTATACGTAACAGCAACTGCAGCGGAATTTTGATTTACAAAGGCACTAATGATGCTTCTCATTTTTCAACTTTTGGAGTGCAGCTTTTCGTGATTCACCTTGTAAAGCGAAATATTTATGTTCTTTATGAGTCAAATAGTGTTTATTTGCATTCGTTTTTTTTAAAGTATTTAAAACTGTATTGCACAACAAACACATCACTTTATTTTTCTCAGCAGTAAAGAAAAAATCTAACTCCCATTCTACATTAAATGTTCTGTTTTCATCACCTAATTTTCTTCTCTTACTATTTGACATGATGGATAAAAAAAAACGAATATCAAATAATATCTTTAACAACTGTTATAAGCCGTGTAACTGTTATAAGCACGCACTGTTAACTACAGTTTGCTGAAGATCACAACAGGGAAGCCAAAGCAAGTTGTGACACTCAAATGGGAGATCTGAAACCTACAAATTTTGTTTATAGTACTTTGTAATTTTAATTTATTATCAAATAAATATTACTTAGAACATTATTCGTTTCTTTTAGATATGTAAATGACATAAATATTGTGGAATTTTCAGCAAAGGAATTTGTGGAATTTTCAGTCTTTGGCGGGATTTTTCGCGCAACTGACATGTCGTTGATGTACAATAGTTGTTTTTTGAAACGAACTCTACCATTTTGTACTAGGTGGCAAAGGGCCGCACAAGTACCTCGTGGAGGCCGCAGGTTCCCCACCTATGAGTTATACCTTTAAAGTCGGTCCTGTTCTGTTATGTTTTTTTTTTTTTTTAGTTTCTCGCAGTCCGCTCCCTAAAAATTGCCAAGAATTGACCACTGATCACGATGCAGAAATCTCCCCAATACTATCCTAAATTTCGGGGGAATTTGTATACTTTTCATTTTTTTAAAACAAATTTTAAGTTTAAAAATATAAAGGAAAGAAAATAAGTAAAGTAGTGAATGAAAATATGTAAGAATGGAAAAACTTTTATGATAAATTATCAGAGCTCTATATTGATTAAATTGTTTTTGTTTTCCACTTATTCAGTACTTATTGATCTTTAGAATATTTGAGTTCAAGTTATTTCAGTTTTAAGAGCTATTTCCCTATTGATACATATTTGTGGCTACTAAAACTATCGGACTCTTGTAATTGCAATAACTTAAAAAAATAGGGAAGATTTCCATAGTGTGATCTGCGACTGAATAATTACCAAGACTTTGCAACTTGCGAGCGAAAACTTCAAAAAACCACAGAAGGATATAAACTAAAAAAGTATAACTGGTAACCACCTTCTTGAAAAACCTCTACATGTTTTAAAATTTGCATTTAAAATTCATTTGGCATCTTGGCGATTGTAGTTTTACAGGAATATGCCCAAAAAATAGAGAGAATGTATTTTTCAAAGATGTTAATTATTTGTATGCAGATACAGACGCAGAAATATTTCCTGGCCTTCAGCACGGGGTTGCAGAATTTCTCATTCGACAGACTCATATAAGTTTGCATCATCACACTGTCTGAACTTAAGTCAGAATTTTGGATAATTAGTAAAAAATGATTATTTAAATGTGTTTACCATATAAGTTCTTTAATCAAAGAAATAGGGGACAGAATTAAGCTCCGCTTTCATCTGATATAGTCAGCATATCGAAATCCTTCCAAGTTTATAGGTGTTGATTTTGCTGGGCCCTTGCTTGTTTATAAATATCAGTTTACAGGAACGAGTTGCATTGCTCTATTCAAATGTGCTGTTGCCTGAGTATTACATCTTGAGTTTGTTTCTGATTTGTCCACTGACAAATTTATTATGTCAGTGCAAAGATTCATTTGGTGCCAGGGAATTCCTAAAATTCTGGACCTATGCTAAAGATATCAAAGTATTAGCCAAATATCATAAGTATTCTCCAATTTTTGAAAGTCTTTGCCAAATGCAAAGCTTGAACATTTTTTATGATTAATGTTTTTCATAGAAAACTATTTTACGGTAGTTTGTTTCAGGCTTATATTATTTAAACCCAATTTTAATAGGTTATGTGGCTCATCTACTGAAAATTATTTAATCAAATAAAAAATATAGGCTTTTTATTAAAATTTATTTTGACGTAATTTTGAGGATCAACTTAACTCTATATTTTTCTTTCTGATGGAAAAAGTCTATCGCCAATACTTTTTTCAAAATACAATTTTATTTCTCAAATTTATGATTTTATCGCATTTGGCAAGGTGGCAAATGCTTAGCGCAGGCCCTGAAACTATATACTCGGTTAATGCAACTGCCTTCCTTGCATCCCGTAAGAAACTCTGAACTTTTGAATGTTCTAACAGCATACGAAGTCCAGCATTTTTCGTTCACCAAATAATAGTAATGTCGACTTAAAATGTTTAATGCTGTTATGGAAGAAAATGTTGAGTGACAAAGAATTAGAAAGAAAATACTTATTTTCAATACATGGAAGATTATTTTATTGTGATCAAGTAGAAATGGTGCCAAATAACTAAAACAAATTTTAATTTCTTAATACATCTTATTCTTTTTTTTTCTGTCATACTTTATGTTTAATAAATACTTTTGTTTTGTCTTATCTTCTATATTTCATTCTAATAACAAAGTCTTCTTTTTTTTTTTTAATTAAAAAACCATGTAGGGGTTTCTTTAAATTTGTCTTCAAGTTATACCTTTCAAATTGGTCTCCTGTGATTTTTTATTTTATTTTTTCAATTCTCGTCGGCTAGTGCTGGTAGCTGCCAAGGCTTGGCGATTATTCTGCTGCAGATCACGATACATGAATCTGCTCTTTCTTCTATTGTTTCAATAGTTACCATTTACTTTTTACAACACGGCACAAATTTATGCATTTCTTCTTTTTAATTAAAACATAATTTCTAAAACATGACTTTCTTTCTTTCTTTAAGAAGATCGAATAGATTTGAATTAAGTGAGACAAAAAGAGATTGTTTTCTTCATCCAATTTATAACAGTAATTGAAGAAGTGAATAATTTTAATAATCCCTTCATAAATGAAAATGTATCAGACTTATTTTGTAAATTGCTTTTGTGTTTACTTTTAGGGAAAAGAAATGGGTGACTATTGGTGACACGACTATGAAAATTTATAAATGGGTTCCAGGTATGTGAAAAAAAGTCTTATTTTATGAAAGATGTACAATGTGCCAAAAAAAAAAACACAGAGGAAAATTAACCACAATCTTAATATTTCGAGAGGGTAGCCTCATATATGCTATTAATTAGTGCATACGATATTTTAAGTTACAAAATTAGACACAAAAACATCTTTTATATAAATAAACATAGCTTTTTTTCGATGGATTCAAATGGAATGGATGGAACTTGAAGTATCAACTGCACTAATTAATTAGCATATTTGAGGTCACCCTCTCGAATCATTAAGATTCAGTCCTAGAATGTGAAGATCCGTTCATTAAATTAAGAGAGGGTAGTCTTTTTTTTTTTNTTTTTTTTTTTTTTTTTAGTGCATTGTACATTGTTACTCTTAAGTCTCAGAATTTTTACTGATTTGTTTCAATAAAAAGACTTCTTTTTTTTNAGCGCAGGCCCTGAAACTATATACTCGGTTAATGCAACTGCCTTCCTTGCATCCCGTAAGAAGCTCTGAACTTTAGAATGTTCTAACAGCATACGAGGTCCAACATTTTTCGTTCACCAAATAATAGTAACGTCGACTTAAAATGTTTAATGCTGTTATGGAAGAAAATGTTGAATGACAAAGAATTAGAAAGAAAATACTTATTTTCAATACATGGAAGATTATTTTATTGTGATCAAGTAGAAATGGTGCCAAATAACTAAAACAAATTTTATTTTCTTAGTACATCTTATTTTATTTTTTTCTGTCATACTTTATATTTAATAAATACTTTCGTTTTGTCTAATCTTCTATATTTCATTCTAATAACAAAGTCTTCTTTCTTTTTTTTTTAATTAAAAAACCATGTAGGGATTTCTTTAAACATGTCTTCAAGTTATACCTTTCAAGTTGGTCTCCTGTGATTTTTTATTTTATTTTTTCAATTCTCGTCGGCTAGTACTGGTAGCTGCCAAGGCTTGGCGATTATTCTGCTGCAGATCACGATACATGAATCTTCTCTTTCTTCTATTGTTTCAATAGTTACCATTTACTTTTTACAGCACGGCACGGATTTTTTAGGCACAAATTTATGCATTTCTTCTTTTTAATTAAAACATAATTTCTAAAACATTACTTTATTTCTTTCTTTAAGAAGATCGAATAGATTTGAATTAAGTGGGACAAAAAGAGATTGTTTTCTTCATCTAATTTATAACAGTAATTGAAGAAGTGAATAATTTTAATAATCCCTTCATAAATGAAAATGTATCAGACTTATTTTGTAAATTGCTTTTGTGTTTACTTTTAGGGAAAAGAAATGGGTGACTATTGGTGACACGACTATGAAAATTTATAAATGGGTTCCAGGTATGTGAAAAAAAATCTTATTTTATGAAAGATGTACAATGTGCGGATAAAAAAACAACCACATAGGAAAATTAACCACAATCTTAATATTTCGAGGGGGTAGCCTCATATATACTATTAATTAGTGCATACGATACTTTAAGTTACAAAATTAGACACAAAAACATCTTTTATCTAAATAAACATAGCTTTTTTTCGATGGATTCAAATGGAATGGATGGAACTTGAAGTTTCAACTGCACTAATTGTTTAGCATATTTGGGGTCACCCTCTCAAATCATTAAGATTCAGTCCTAGAATGTCTCACCATTCATTAAATTAAGAGTTATTCAGAGTTTTTTTTTTTTTTTTTTTTTGGTGCACTGTACATTATTACTCTTAAGTCTCAGAATTTTTACTGATTTGTTTCAATAAAAGAAACTTCTTTTTTTTTCAGTGCCAAGCAGAGAAGCACAGGTAAAAAAAAAAAAAAAATTTATTACTCTTTAAAACTGAATAAAAATAAAACACAAAATAAATGAATAAATGGTGATTCATTGGTCTGACACTGGTCTTAAGTCCAGTTTCATCCACCATGAAACAACATTCAGTGGTGAACCAAACCTGTGAATTATCTATATCAAGTGTAACTGATGGTATGGTGATCTGCAATAAAAACAAGATAAATTTTGGTTATTTTCTGCATGTATCAGAACAGAAAATTAAAAACTGGATTATATTTGAGGCAGATGAAGAACATAAAAAAAGACAAGCAGCAAAAGATTTCTCCAACACAATTTCTGCTTATTTGTTCTGCTATTGAACTTTGACTCTGTGAGAAATTTTTATTTATTCTATCTTTATTGCCTTACACAAATTTGTTAATTAATTATTAAGTTTAATTAATTATTAACTAGATTACTATTTGCTACTATTTATATCTAACATTAAAATTTTGTTTTATAAATTTTACATTTTTAAAAATCTAATTGGGATGTTAGTGATTCCGCTAGACTTTTGAAACTTGAACATCTGTAGTTCAGAGTTGCCAATTCATACAACTATATAGGAAAAAAAGGATACTAAAGTGACTAATTTCTCCAAAATATGGGCTATTTTGCACTCAGTTACGAAAAATCTGAAATTTTGTTTACCGGTTCAATATTTTATTTCCCTCTACATAGTATGGATAAGTATTGTTTATATAGCAATGATTATAACAGGCAAAATTTTCCTTCATGCATATTTCCACGTTTTTTTATTTTATTTCATTTTATTAGAATTTCTGAAAACCTGCATAACATGATGTATATGATGCATCTTCAACAAATAAAGTTTAAAAGCTTGCATTTTGTGTCTTTAAAATTATTATAGTACATATTTTATGAAATGTAAATGTCTGAAAAAAGATACATAATTTTCATAACATTATATTGTTAAAATAAAAATATTTTAAGAATATGTTAGAAGTGGGAATCTTATATACATCAGGCAACTATTTTGGAAAATATCTGAAATAACTAAAGCGATTAATTTTGGAGTCTTACCTAAGTGTCAGTCCTGATATTTCTGAGACTTTTTCTATCTCTGATTTTTATGTAGTTTTTCATTAAATTTATCAGTTAGTTTTTCATTACATAGACTCGTGCCAAGGGGAAAAATGCATCAAATAGAGGTAACAAGGAAAACATTGAAAAATGCTTGCAAGAAGGAAAGTCTTCAAGTGGCAAGAGTAAGCTCTTAATAATAAAATATTGTATTTAACAACTTCATCTTCTATAATTTTTGGTTATTCATTCATGATTTATTTCAGTGTAAGTGTATCCGTTCAACTCAATAAATGCATCCTCTTTATAAAAATGAGCCGCCATCCCTGAAAAACACTGCTTTTTTTTATTCATATTCCATTTTAAAAAATATTAATTCGCTGTTTAAATAATAATTATATTCTGGTAAAATTATCTGTGTTCTGGTTATTTGTGTTTTAAAAAAAATCATTTATTTAAATAACTTTTTTTTTTGTCAAATCATTTATTTAAGTCACCTTTTTTTAAAAAAATCATTGGTTAACTTGAAAATATNAACACTGCTTTTTTTTATTCACATTCCATTTTAAAAAAATATTAATTCGCTGTTTAAATAATAATTATATTCTGGTAAAATTATCTGTGTTCTGGTTATTTGTGTTTTAAAAAAATCATTTATTTAAATAGCTTGTTTTTTTTTGTGTTTTTTTTTGTCAAATCATTTATTTAAGTCTCCTTTTTTTAAAAAAATCATTGGTTAACTTGAAAATATTTTTAGTTATAATTTATAAAAACATTCTTAACGGCTGTGAATGTTTTTTTTAATTTTTCTTTTTAAATTTTATGTTTAAAGTTATACCCAATGATTTAATATGGGCGGAAACTAATGTATATTCATTCTATATTATTTAACATTAAATTTGTGTGAGTTTGAGCTATAATAAAGATAACTATAGTTTTATTTATTTAGTGGTTAATTAGTTATAACTAAATAGTTTTAACAATTTTAAATAGAAATATTTAGTATTTTATTTATAATATTGTTATAACATAGAATAAATTTTTATATTATATTAAATATTTAATGAATTTTATCGGAGCTTTCGATGTAAAAGAAATCTAGATTAAATTTTAAAAAATATGTTTCTTATTGTGCTTCTTTTCAACTGATATATTATTTTTACTCTACACATTTATTATATTTGCTATGTTCAAAATTAATTTTTAGAAAGTTTGAATACTGTGTATAAAAGTGCAGTATTGTTAAATAATTGCCCCAGATTACTTTTGAATTGCTTATTTAAAAAGACAACAAAAGTTTAAAAAATTTAACCATGATGGAGAAAAAAAAATTATTCATTATAATTTGAATTGGTTTTATTGGAATGTGTTGCTCAATTCCATGAATACTGTGCAAATCAATGTTATAATATCCTATATTATTCGAATTTTAATATGAATAACTCAAATTTTTCATGAGATTGCCTTTAAATTATTATGCTACATATTGTTTTTGAGTGGATCTTTCTCAAGACTCTCCCTTCTACATTCACTATTGAATGATCATCCAAACTCATCACTCCGGAGAAACGAGATATGACATAACCTGTTTGGTGAATCTATTTCAATGCAGATTGAAAGAATTTTTTTTTTTCCTCCCTGAATATGCTACTGATATTTCATTGCTGTTTGTATGAATGATTTTATACAGTTGAAACAATTTTTTGTTGTTATACTTTAATTGGAATCACATTTTATGACTGAAAAGTTGCATTCAGTGGAGCAATAGCAATATTTGCTCTTTAAAAAATAGAAAGAAAAAAAACTATGGATAAATAAGTTAGTAAACAGTGTTTAGTATATCATAAAAAATTAGTGATGTTTTTAGATAAATTTTGTTAACTCTTTGATCCGGACTTTAAGCTACCCATGGTGATGCGTAATAATCCTTTTAATGTATATTTTTAGAATCTTCATCCATGCTTTCGCTCCAGATATTTGGCAGATTTTGATAGTTTGTGGTTTTCCTGTCTTAAATATTACTTTGTACTTCTTGATTTGTATTTTTTTTATTCAGTTTTGACCAGGATATAATTATATATATTAAGGACAGATACTACATAACACCTTGTAACGCTGATCTAATAATATACAGTCGGACCTCTATTTAAGGAAGTCGCTAAATCCCAATAATAAGTTCGTTGTATGGAAAATTCTTTAAATAGAAAATCACCTTTTGAAATACTTAAACAATGTGAAACATGTTTTTAATTCATAAACACTAGACATAATTAAAATAGCAATTGATACATCTTTACCTTGTAAACTAGTATCTATTATTTATTTTATAAATCTTAGCCATAAAAGAAATCTGCATGGAAAGCAAGAATAGAGCAAAACATTATCCAATGTTACTCTATCACGCTGCATACATTTTCCACTAAAAAATCTATAAAATTATAGCTGCATTTATCATAAAAGTAATTTTAGATATATGTTCCCACATGCATTCTTATGTTTAATTCATCTGAATTGTTCGTTTGAAATGCAATCAAAAAGGGAAAGGGATTTTACTTCCTTCTCTAAAAGTTAAGCAACTTCAAAAATCAATTCAAGATCATTTCCCCCATAAAATATGATAACGAGTTTGAAATATTTTGGGAAATAAGGAAAGTGGATCTCAAAGGAAAGTTAAATAGAAAATTCACTTCACTGTTTGGAAGTTATTTTACAAAGAAATTTCCAAAATGTTCTTTTTTGTTCGAAAAAAATCGCAAAATAGAGAAACTCGTGAAATGGAACTTTGTTAAATAGAAGTCCGACTGTATAAATATTTTATGGAATAGTTTAATTAATGTGCATTTTATAACTAATGAATGAACACATTAATTTCAATAGTTTGTGAATGTCACTCAGTCAGAAATGATTCTGAATACTTATAATATTGACTGAAATTATTTATTTAGGTTCTCCTATTGGAAGTGAAAGTAAAAATATTTGTACAAGAGAATCCAGTTCTATATCAAGTGTCATGGAAGAGTCAAGTTTAGGTAACTACATATTACATTTTAATAACAATTTTCTTATGTGACTGAAGAGATTAGTTAAAGAAATATCACAAAATTTTTAATGTCCAAAGAAGGAACTAATCAGCTTGAAATCAATGTCTTCCTTATTGATTGAATTTAAAATATTTTGATCAAGAATGGCTAACTTCCAAGTTTGTTCAGCTATTTTTTAATTAAAAATGAAGTAATTAAAAAAAATTGCACATTAGTTTTTATTTTTAAAAAAATTAAAAATCACAGATGTCATGAGGATATGTATGTAAAAGTTTTATTTACAATTTTTTAATATAGCTACTTTTTCCTTGCATGTTAAAATAGCTTCAACGCACTTAAGTTTTGTGGAATATGAATATAGTGAAATAATATTATACACGTGTTCCTAGATAATTTCAGTGATTAAAAAGTGTCTTTTAAGGTACTGTGCATTTTTAAAATTAATTTATTTCAAAGTTTATAATATTTTTTTATTATTTGTAACTGTTAAATATTTATTTTCCATTCTATGTTTTTCATTTTTCAACAGGCAACTATTCTTATGATTTTCAGCATTCCTCTAATTTAGATCTAGATTTCAACATAATATACTAAATAATGAGAATTTTCAAGGAAGTATTTTACTATTTTTTTTCCTGCAGAACTGCTCTTTTTTTTTCTTTTTTTTTTATAAGGAAAAAGAAAAATTTCTGTAAAAGTTTGCCTATTTTATTCTGAAATCGTGATCTTTACTTTAAAAAAAAAAAAAAAAATTTCTAAGAACTTTTAATGTTTTCTCATCTATAAAGGAGTTTTGGTTATAAATTTCAGCATTATAGAGTCACTTTCAATTTCTGTACTTATCGATATGTGAAGAACAATTTATCTATCATTAATATAATTACATAAATTGTCATTTTACTTTTTTGTGCAGTTTTATTGGACAGAAAAATTATCTGTTGTGGTCATTTGACAAACCAAAAAAAAGTAATGATATATTTTGTTGTTATCAATATTCATTTAATTAAAGTTATAATGGTATGTACCTGCTGTTGATTTATTTATCCAGCACTATTTATTATTTCAAACAAAAAGTAATTTCATGATTTTTCCATATTATGCTATGTTGTATATAAGTTTTTTTAATCAAATGACAATGTTGGCGAAAATAGTTTGTGATAATTAAATCAAATACAAGAATTTTGTTGGCAATTATCAAATTTTAATAACCTTGGAGGCTTGTTAAATTCATTTTTAACGTACTCCCCAGAGATGAACCCTATTTCTTTGACAACAGTTTTTTAAATTTATAAAATATAATAAATTTTGTTTTCCATTGAAATTTTTACCTGATGAGAAACAATCATGTGTGAAAAATGTTGACGGTTTTAGAGTTGGCACGCAGTGACGAAACATCCTAATATAATTAAATTTATAACACCTTATTATACAATATATTTTAATTTATAGTGGTTGCAGTTTTATAATTAGCGAATAAATTTACCTTTTAATGGTTTTTACTTTTTTTAAATATGAATTTTATGTAAAACTCTCTTCAGTCAAAATAAGCAATTAAAATAATGAACACAATAAAAGCTATATAAATTCCTAACAACATTAAAAAGTGACTTTTTACATCATTGCTAAATAGTCTCTTTGGTCAAAATTATTTAAAAAGTTGTTTTTGGGTGCAATTACAATGGTAGTTGAGCATAATTATTAGGTCTTATTTTTATTCCAATAAAATTAGAAACTAACTCTGTGGAATCAAGTTGGAATTAATATACAAAAAATTTTGGGACCTTTTAATTGAATAATTTTTAATTTTGACTGAAGTCTGTTTATCATCGAGAAACAAAGATTGCTAAGCAATCGTCGGAGTTAATGTACAGTTTTTCCAACATGTTAATAATACATGTTATTAATACATGTTTCTTTTTAAGAAATCAATTCTCAATGGCAGTAAGTTCAATTGTCATGACAAACCAACCTGCTCTATTCATTAAATTTTTGACCAATGTAAGCTTCTGTAATGTATTGTAATCTATGTACCATTCAAAACATTTTTTGAATTTAAGTGGATTTTCAGCTTCTTTCATTACCCTATTTCACTGTATTTTGGCCATAATTCTTCAGCTAACTTTGATTGAAATTGCATTTGAATATTTCACTTTTCTTGTTGAAAAATTTTTAAATAATTTTATCTTGTATTTCAATTTGAAAATTTAGGCTTGCCGTCTTTTATAGCTCAAAACATTGAAATTTGAGTTTTTTTTGTTTTGTTTGGTTTGCATGTTTTTTCTCTGTGGTCTTCTGGTGATTAATGTGTTCTAGTGACTCTTGGCAGCAGATAACCTCTTTGAAACTTCATTCTTTCTGTGCTTAGATCTCTCAAAATGAATGCCCCTAAAAATAATGCTATGTCCCTACCTATATTGTAAAAAATTTGTGACCTTTAAGCATTTTGTACCTTGATTCATATAACCACTTTGTATTAATTCTGAATCAAGAAAAATGATATATTTTTATTTTTTAAATTGGTCTCTTAATTACAGTTTTTTTTTTACTTGTGTTATTTAATTTTTTCAAACATAACTTTATAAATATTTTTTTCACAGGATTTGCAGACATAAGTCAAGACTCGCGAGCTGCTAGTGATGATGCCACTAACTTAAGCATGGAAAACAGCAGTGATGCTCAATTTCCAGATTCTCAACCAGGTCTGTTTATTTTATTTATTAAGAAGGGATATGATTTTCAATATTATGCAATTAAATTGGTTATTTGTTTACTTATAAATTATATAGATAACATTAAAAACTAACTACAAAATTAATTCCTGTGCATAAAACTCTAGATTAGCAGTGGCTAATGGGTAACCATGTTATAGTCTGTTTAATAAGAGCTTTTGGAGAATTGTACTTCATATAGAAATTTAAATAAAAACTGCTTAGAACACAATAGCAACGTAAAGATTAATAAAAATCCATTTACAGCAGTTCAAAATAATGTATCTTGGAATGCAGAATAATGTATCTTGGAATGCAGTGCTCTTTAAATTTTATGCTAAATTAATATTCTTTTAGGTTATCAATATTAAATGATTTTTATAAAACAATTTCATATGATTTGTAAATGTTTATTCTATTGAATATGTATTTCTGAGTGTTGGATTTAATTATGAAAAAAATATAGTGATAATTAGATAACATTAAGTGAAAATTAAGCATTAATTTATTTTTTTCTTAATATAAGTAGATGGTCTTTAAAACTAAAATTGCCTTTCATTTCTACAGACATGTGTTAATATTTTTTATATATGGATTACAGATATGTTTTTGTTGCTAAATTGGCTCATAAAATTTTTGAAAATTCAAAAACTAATCAAGAATTTACGGGAAGTAAAACTAAATAGTATGTATTGCCTTGTTGCAAATTTTTAAGTATGTTTAATAAGGTTTTCCAAATCTGAATTATTTTAAAGTAATCCTTACACAAGGATTTTTTAGGAATGCCCACCTTTTTTTCAGATTTATCGCCAGCCCTTATTTCCAAGGTAGACCAAATAAAATAATCCATTGGACAAGATAGTCAATCTTTGGCTTTAAAAAATTTTAGAAATTGTGTCTTGCACTACTTTTGGAGTCCTTTAACAAAAATCCTGTTAGACACTCACTCCATTTTTAGTCTCCTGATAACTTTTGTAATGTTCGTATTCACATGAATTTAAAATCAAACATAATTTTTGTTCACCAATTTAAAAATCAAATCACCCTTATTTTGCCAAATTTTTAGATTTTTATTTTTCTCCTTTTGGCTTTCTGACCACTGTTCCTGGAAAGTGTTCCTGTTAAAGTGTGAAATTCGTTATTCCGTAAAATATCTAGGTATTTCATGAAATAACCAAACAAGTTAAAGTAAATGAAATTATTAAATTCTACGATTTAAGAATAATGATTGCCTGATCGTTAAAGTATGCAATATGGCAGTCAAAAGTTCTTTGAACCGCTTGTAGCTGCTTTGTATATGTGTGCGCACTTCATTCCGTTGCTTATAGACGTAGTTACTGACATGATTCATGAGCAATAATGGATTATATTATCTGCTTTTCCTTATTTTTCAACTAATAATCCGCAATACTGATAAAATGTATTTTTCTGTGATTATCTATTTATGAAATAATTTTGAAATAGTTTATTTTTCACTGTGACGTTTTCATAGAGTAACTAGTTAAAGTATGAAATGTTTCATCTATTACATACATTAACCGATTTGTCTACTTATTTCATGAAATACCTAGTTATTCTATGAAGTAACTGAATTTAACGATAACATACGTAAAAAGGGTGTGAAAAAATATTCTCTTGAAGATTTGTGATTTATTAAATATTTCCCCATTTCTTGTTTCTAAAAAAAACAAGTGTTGTAGTTTTTAATTTGCTTCTAGGAGAGATGTTTTGTTGCACACTCTGAAAGACCATGAATGAAGGTACAGAGATCTATAAGATTTAAAAACGTAGCAAAATATATTGACGATATACAATTAAAAATGTCAATTTCTCGAAGTTTCTCTTAATAAGCAAAACATAATATGATTATATAAGGTGCAAAGTAAAAATGAGTATTTCTTGAGACTTATTTTCACAGAAATAGAATTCAATATACTGACAGCTTTTATGCTTGAGGTCCTTATGTTTGTTCCCTTTTATGCAACTTTTCTACTTGTAAATGTTTTAATTTTGATTTTCCAAAGTAGTTATCTTATATGTCTCTTAAATAATTTTTAGATGGGTCTATGCACTTGAAATCAGATGATTTAAGTGAAGACAGCTGTGAGCCACCTTTAAAAAAAAGGCTAACAAGTGATAAAGACTAACAATGTTGCTTAAACAAGAACTATTGAGATAATTTTAGTTATGCTTAAGATAATTCTCTTGTGATCAAATCTTCAAAGAAATTGTTTTGTATGTTTTAATAGTTTTCAAATCTGCCAAAATCAGGGTTTGCAGATGTAGACCAAGCCCAAAAAAAAGCTAGGGGATTTTTTTTTTCATATTTAAAAAATTGAAAATGCATCTCCAGTCATTTTTCTTTGCTATTAAAAAACCAGTTTGTTCTTTGAAAGTATCTACTGATTCTTTTATATATTTAACTTGACAACTATACATACAGAAATATTGTAAGCTGAAGTTTTTTTTTCTTTCCTTTATAAAAAAACTTTCGATAGCTTGGCTTTGACATCATACCTAATCAAAAGCAACTAATTTATAATTATTGAAATATTTGATTTGAACCAAAAGAATAGAGTTCATTCAAACTTGCAGAATCGTTTTAAGCATAATTTATTGGAATGTATTCAAGAACATTTTATAAGTTTTCAAACAATGATGAATCTTTTCTATGTAGATATGTACAAAGTTACATTTTATGTTTATTGTATATATATATGCGTGTCCTTAAAATTGTTTAATGTTTTACTGATTGTGTGTTTAACAAGACTTTTTTTTTTACACTTAAAAAAATTTAAAACTTGATATATACTGAGTGTTTTTACTATTTGTATGTATATATTGCCATTTTATCTATTGTCAGAGCATGGCACAATCCATGCTAATGTTTTTCACTGTATGTAGATTTTACAACAAATGTGCTAGATTAAAAGTATTCAAAAGTGTCAAAAATGAATCAGCTGAATTTTTATCTTCCATTGATTTCAGAAAGTATATTTATATAGAAATATTATAGAAAGTTCACAAACAAAAACATAGCAAGATTTCAATAAAGTAGATTAATTATCTTTGTTAAATCAGGCAGATGGTGATAAAATTAGCATTGTCTAAATATGCCTCAGGAAAGCTACATTTAATGAAAAGTCTTTAAGATAAATGTGTTAAGCATACTGTCTTTTTTTTTAAAATTAAGAGCCTGTAGAAACTCACCCAAAATAAATCCTCAAGCGATTGGAAACTACTGAATTAAACTGGTTTAGTAAAGATTGTAACTTGGCTAATTTTCAAAGACCCAGGTCTCGATAAGCAGCCAAACCTCTTCATCTCTTAATATCTTGGTGTATGTTTGTTCAAGTTTTTTAAAAATTCCATTAAAAAAAGCTATATTTACCTGCCAATTTAATTCTGCAGTTTCTCATTACTTGAAGATTCATTCTAGGATTCTTCTAAATTCAACAAACTCTTACAAGTCATTAAATACATTGCAACAAAGAAGAGAAGATTAAGCTAAGTTTTATAATTCATACAGATTATGCTATTAATTGTCATGTTGTATTCAGTATATTAAGCAAAATCCCAATACAATATTAGTTTATTTCTCCAGAGGCATGTTTACTCGATTCTATTTTTAGTACTATATATATTTAACAAAAAAATGTAAGTACTTTCTCCCCTACGATACGCTTTTCATAAATAAAGAAAAAACATTTTAGCACCTTAGTTGTTTGAAATAATTTAAGCATAAAGCTTTCTATGTAACATCAGTAATTCAATTTACTCATTAAATCAAGCCAACCTATTCTATGAACACTCAAGAGAAAAAATTATCCGATTTTTACAGACAGATTTTATCAACTTTCTCTCCTTTTCGAAACTGCTGGCATAAATTTTATTTATTTATACATAATATACTGTTTAACTTGAAAATAAAAAAATTTTAAAAAAATATTTCAAGAAGTACTCAACAAATATATTGCTTGACACACACATTTTATGCTAGATCTAAAATTTTGATAGATCTAAGGTAACTGTGAGAAAAATATTTAGCAGATAGCATAAAAATCTATAAATTACCATTTTATTAATATGAAGAAAACATTTTTGATTTTAAGGAAGAAATACTTTTTACTGAATGTTGAACCAGTATTTTTTATAAATTAATAACTTTCTATAAATTAAGAACTTTTTTAGTAAATATCTACTGGTTTAAATTAAACTATTATCAAGTGGGAAAAAAATTTCTTTCAGGATTTTTGTTTAAAAAAATTGAGGCATTTATATTAAATTTCCTGTTTGAAAACTTTCAACAAAAAAAAATTTATAAATAAAGGAACTTTCTAGAGCTTTATCATTGCATTTTGTTTTAAAAAAATTGCTGTTTATTTCAGCTATGGTGGTATATATTTCATATGCAGAATATACTTTTTTATTAAAAAAATTAAATAAAAATGCAGCGAATAGTTGTTAAATTACTTACATAAGAAACAGAAAATTGTCTTGGTAAGCAATTAAGTCTTGTGCCAATTGCCCTAGAAGTAATTCAGGACATTATAAAAAATAAAAGCATTAAAACAAATAGAATTTAACATGGAAAATTTTTTAATTTAGCTTAGAATTTTCATATTCACCTTATCTGTAGATGGAGCTTATTTTTTCCAGCAGACATAGCAGTCTGAGTGATCTTCTGGATAGGTTTGTTTATTTTAAAAGGGAGGTGGATATATAAGTATTGTGTAAATTTGAAGCAGCTTCGAACAGTAAACTACATTTTAGAGATATGTAAGTTTTTTAGGTTGTTCAATTTAGGACAAAACATTTCATAGTAGAATAGTATCCAAGTATTTTTTTGTTCCAGGTGGGAGAGGCAAAATGTTATTAAACTAACATAATTTTTAGAACTTTTGATACAATTTTGAATATTTCGATAGATATTATTTCTGTGAGAAAAACCAGGCATTCAGTGAAATGCTACCAAAGACAGCACAGCCCCTGCTCAATGTGAAGCTAAAAGCAGCAAAGTTTTTAACCTTAGACCAGCTGGCTGCTAAAGATGACCAATTAAAAGGAGTAAAAAAATAATTTTGTAAAGCCCTTTTAATAAATTACAATCAGCATTTTAAAATTCAAAAATATTTTAAAAGATTCCACTATGATTTCCATTTCCTAACAAGAGTTGAAGTTTTGACAAGAAAGATTTACATTTTCAGATACTAGTAGAAAAAAATTAAAAAACCAAACAGACAAATAACTTTATGTCAAATTTAATTTACATTAAGAGTCCGTTAGAACATATTTTTGTAATTTTTTGAATGCAAAAAATAAATAAAATTAAAGGAAAAGTTTTCCTAAACTTTTGAAATATAATTTTAAAAAGTGACAATAATATAACAAAATTATTTCATATACTTCTTGAAATAAAATTAGTGCCAGAGCAACAGTTTTTCTAATTATCAAATGAAGATTGCTTGAAAAATAAATTTAAATATTTAAAAAGTACTAAGTATTTTTCAACTTATAAGTAATTATTTCAGATTATACATTTCAAAAAAGTCCCAGTAAATGACAACCTTTTACTTTTCTAGAGGAAGAAAAAATTTACATTTGCATATTCTAGGACTTTATTACAATTTAAGATACTATTTGTCCCCTCTTTCCTTGACAATTAAAAATACCCATGATTTCCATATTAACCACGACTTTAAAAAGTTAGCAATTGGATTTAACACATATTTTCTTGCCCCAGGACCAGCAGGATATAATGAATATAAAATTGATAAATATTGCATAAAAAATTTAATAGATAGAAAAAGCATGAAAACTTCTTGGCCTACTTATTGAAATAAATAGTATGACCTATTAACTTCAGTGACTTACATCTGCATAATCAATTATTTTATGAAATGAATATGAAGCTTTTGATACTAAAAACATTTACTAAACAAATACTAAAAATCTTCAAACATTTTTGCATAAAAAAAAATATGCGTGTTTAACTTAGAAGTTTCTCTTCAAATGTTCTGGTGAAAACTAAGGTCTACCATAGACTGTTGTGCCAATGATGATGCTCATTACAACAACCAATAAAAAGAATTATTTTTCTAATTGAATTTTACAGAAACATTAGGTTTTTTAAATTTTACCATTTATTTAATAAAAATATTGATGCATCAGCTATTAAATCCTTAAAAACAATTTCAGAATGAAAATATATAAGAAATTTCAATTTATCCGTAACATTTTTCATTACACACTTTTTAAAATAAATCTTGTGTGTTAACGTGAAAGGTTTGAGTTACTTTTTTCATAACCAAATGCCAACAATTGATTTTAAATACAGTATATCCTGGTCTGGTGTACCAATTTTTGAAACCCCAAAACTTTTACAAGGGGGTCGGCTTATAAGTTGGACATTCATTGATTAATACATTATAAACCATGAATAACTACTCTATATCAAAATCTAATTTTTATATGTTGTATACAATTCCGGTTGTATTTTTTTCCATCATATTTTCTCTACATATAAAGGTTTTTTTTTTTTTTTAGAAACAAGACTTTAAATTACAATCCAGATAGTAATAAGAGTAGAAAAAGTTAAAACGATTTTTTTCAAAACATGTTCTTTTTTTTACTTCTCTACAATGGATTTTACTTCCTCATCTGCTGAGTTCTATAAAAAATTCACCACAACCCATAGATTTCTAAATTCCACATTTTTTAAAGGAATTTACAATTGCATTGGATCTTTATTTGAGAGATCCAGAGGAAACAATGTAAAATATTTTTAACTTGAGAATATTTTGTAGACATAATAATTTTTTTGTTATTTTAATTTTAGAAACTTTCATATTTGTTTCTTTCAGCGGTTGACTTATACACACCAGAAATTTGCTATACCGTAANGGGGGGGGGGGATCAACTTACACACAAGGATCTACAACATATATTTTTTGGCCCAGTTTAACATCACAAATTGCCATTAACACATTAAGCCCTCGCTTGTGGATCTATAATAAAAGTAAATAACATATTTCTCTTTTTTTAATAAATAATTTTTATAGACATATCTATATTTTGTACATTACATGTATAAACTCATTTCAATTAATTTAATGTCTAAGTCTCGCAGCAATGCTACATTATTTTTGTACAGGAGATACATTTTGTACTCCTTTACAAGTCACTAAAGTAACTTCCCATGCATCATCCGATTCACCAGAATCTTCTTCCGATAAAGGGGAGCTAAAATCAGAAATATCCTCCGATACAATTTTTAATTTTTTAGAAGTGGTAGAATCAACTTCATCTACCTCAATGTGAACTGCATCAGGGTCTGAATCAGTCTCAGAGTCTTCACTAACAATGTATCTAATCCCAGCAGCTGGTGGCGGCTTTTTAAAAGGTCTTTTAATTGGTCTAGCAACTTTGCGCTTTTTTAGTGGGAGAGATACAACATTTGATACTTCTGAAGCTGCCATGGATTTCTTCACAGATTCTGGAATAGTAAAATCAAAAGGCTTGGTATTGCTGAGGAATCTTTTAAAGACGCTCATGTTTGCTCGATCCGATATATCAGTGTTAAAAATTCCTTTGGCATTTTTGTTCACAACAGGAATAATAGAAGATGGCTGAACTAATTTGACAAACTCTTTTAATTCTAAATAAGAGGAATGATTAGAATATGGAATAACATGAATATCAGAATATTTAGAATAAGGTTGAAATTCAAAGCCACTAAATCTAGCTGTGGCTAAAATTGCATGTGCTTTTTTATCTTTATTCCACTTATCACGATTCCTCCCATTAATTTGATTTGTAGGTACAACAAACACATTTGTCTCATCTTCGTTACTAGTTACAATGTCTGAAAAACCCAAAATGTCCATAATTTCTTTTCTAGCTGGGTTGACAAATACTTTAGCTCTTCTTTCTTTTACTATTTGCTGTAGTAAATCTTCTTTGCCCAAATTGTCAAGGCCAATATACACTCTATTGCTGTTCATTAAACAATCACTTAGTTGCAACAGTATTTTCTCTATCGCATTTTCACGTGTTGGAAATAAACATTTAGGAGAACAGTATGTGTTATCTAAATACAAAACGTCAATTTCAGGCAATTGAAAATCTTCAAGTATTCCAGCTTTATATCTGAAATCACCTGTATAAAAAATGTTGCCAAAATAACCACTGAATAGAAACATTACTGATCCAGGGCAGTGATTTGCATCAAAGAGGGTAACAGTAAGCAATTCTTTTCCTTCCAGATCTAAGGGAATAAATTGATCTTCTCCAATCTCTAAACACTTCACTAAAGATGGTTTTACCTAATGTAAAGAGAAAATAATAACACACCTGCCATATACTTTAAGTATAAAAATCACACTTATGAAGTTTCAAAAAACATTTTAAAAAAATTGTAACCAATTATATGCTAATATAAATTTGAATAAAAGGGAGTAAAATTATTAAAAAACGGTTTCAAATTAATCCATTAAAAACAGAAAAAAATGTAAAAACAGTTTTAAAAATATTAGAAACTTCATCTCAGACAATCAGGTCTAAGTTATCACTTTCTTTGATGACTTAATATGCATTTCATTTGTTTTTCAATTAGAAACATTTGGAAAACAATACTTTAAAAACTAATCTTGTTTACTTTGTGATATTTATAAAATAATAGAGTTTAAAAAAAAAATCACATTGTTCATTCAATTCAGAATACTTCCAATTGATTATTTTTTGGAACTTAGCGATCATAGTGATATAGCAGCAAAACTCTGACATACTAAAATAATAAATATAAGGTTAATTTTTTTATTCAGAGTCTTACATACTTATGCAGAGTTACATATACAAAAGTGTTTGTAAAAAAAAATTATGAAGGAAAACATATATTTAAAATATACATATATTTAAGCATTACTGAGTGAAAGTTATTAAGTCATTATGCTTGTAAATACATTTTAAAAATTTTAACCCTGCTAAGTTAATCTATTTTTGTTGTCATATGCCATTAAGGCAAGAGGGGCGTGCTCTTCTTGTTCCCCAGTGGCACCATCTATGGTCAAGAATTGGACTTCTGCCCCACACATACATGACAGCCTGTTTTACAGGGAGGACACATGCACCCACCATTCAGCAGATTTTAATTATGACCTGAACCAGAGCAAGATCAATTTCGATCCAGTACCCATGGAGGTATTGATTTGTTATGGGAACTTGGAGGATTTTTTGACCCCAACAGATTTAGTGTGCATGGGTCATTATTTTGTACATGCCAAGTTAACCTTCCAAAACTAAAAGTGCCATTTTCTATGAGGAAGCATCCTGCCCTTTTTTATTCCTACGGAGAACCCTGTATTAAATAATATATAAACACGTGAAAATTACTCATTTAAATAACAAGCATTGGCATCTCAAACCCAATTCATTTTCTACAAATGGTTTCCAGGCTGAATTTTATCTTTTAACAAATTCATCAATGCTTTAGCTGATCTCTTACATAGCCTTCACATTAATTAACAGCAATAACTAAGCCTTCTATTTACAAAACTAGCATGATAGCTTTCAGAATTTTTCACATACCACAAACTTATCAATGCACGCATTCATTTCATATCCCGCATTACCTTTTTACAATCTATTACAAAATGCCTCCAATAACACCAGTACTGTTATCTTTGGTTCCACACACACACACATGTATTAGTTCAGAGTTAATCAAGAAATTACAACCCAGCATGGAATTGTATATTAAGAAAAACCATGCATGGCCTTTAACATTAAAACACATAAATGTAAGAAATACCATTCCATGTCCTGCATTTTTTTTTTTTTTTTTTTTTTTTTTTTTTTTTTTTTAAGCCTCCATCATATTTCTCTTTTTTTTTTTCAACCCCAGTATTAATTATAGAAAACAGGCCCTAGATAGTATAAAATTTCTTAATGGAATTTCAACAATAACAAAAAATTATATGTAAAATGTATCATTACTCTGTAACCTATACCATTACCAATCAAATTTCAACCTTATCAACATCTTCATTCCTCATCATCATATTGTTTTAATCATCACAATCACAGCTTAATAGGCAGATGTCCTTTTAATTCCTAGCAAATCCACAATGTTAGCAATAAAAAAAAAATTACTAAATCACATTTTAGTGAGCTTGAAAAGCAGTTCCAATAATTTTAATTAGTATTTAAATATTCCAGAGAAGTAAATGAAGCCAAGATACCATTTATAAATTTTCAAACTTACTATTGCAAAAGTACATTTAAAGAGCAAGAATATAATTAATTTTGGTAATATTTCATTTTTAAAAAATTAGTAAATTTATAAGTTAATTATTAAAATAATTGTTTATTATAGAAAATCAGTATATTTTTAATTAGCCACATTCTTTCACTATTTCTATTAATAACTGAACTAAAACTAAAATCAACAAGGCTATAGGAAACCAAGGCCTACTGTGCCCATCCCAGTTTTCTTGACCTTAGGCTTAAAGCTAGAATACAAGAGCAGGTATTCCAGTTGGATATCACCTCTGTTATTTCTAGTGTTTTTAAGATATGAAACACTCTTAGTGATCAGGAAATCAGAGACAAACAAAATTTCCATATTTTGTCGATAAAGTATGTTTTAGATAGATGATTTTAAAAGAGATGTGATAAAAAAAGATCGATTCATCAACATCAGCACTCTTTATAACCTTTTCTCTCTTTATAGAAATATTTTTAGACAACCTTTTCAAATTAGATTGTCAGAATACAAATAAATAAATAAGTTAATGCGTTCTGAAAATTGATAAATAAAAATATAGTGAAACCTGCCAAGTTGACTTTTAGCAATTAAAAATAACATATACCTTTATTTTATGAATCAAGAGCTTGCAAGTGAGAGGAGAAGCATATATTGGAAATTGCCAAGAGCTTGTGAGACCAACTAAGTGATCAGCATGAAAATGGGAAAGGAAAAAAATCCGGGCTTGTGGATAATTTTTAGGGTTCCACATATCTACTGCTATAGGTGTCCCAGGAATTACATGACCATTTCCAAGCATTCTATAAAAAGATACATATAATTAGGTTACATAATAAGTAGTGATGTAACGAATAGTGATGGGGCCAAATACCGAATATTCGGCCAAATTTTAGGCCGAATACCGAATATTCGGTGACCGAATACTTACTTTTTAAAAATTTCTCTTTTGATTGTAATTAAAGTAATTTTCAAATTTTAAATCAAAAATGAAATAAATATTAACAAAATTGCTTTTTTAATCTTTGTATATTTAAAAAAATTTTAACAACTTGATTTATTTTTTGTAATAATTTAAATATCTTGATGCCAATAACAAGGCAATATGGCTTTTATAAATCTAAATTAATAATAGCATATTTTAGTTATAGTTATACTTGTAATTTATATGCTATTTTATTTAAGATAAGAACTCATTACTTACTACTGTTTAAATGTATTCTTAACTTTCTTTTTTGTCAGAAAAATTATTATAACTCAGAAAATTAAGAACTTTTTAAAAAGCGTCACTTGTGAAATTTTAATTTTGTAATTAAATAATTTTCAAATTTAACATTAAAAAGGAAATAAATATTAAAAAATTTGCTTTTTTAAACTTTCTATATTTTAAAAAAAAATTTAACAACTTGATGTATTTTTTGTAATATTTTAAATATCTTGATGCCAACAATAAGGCTTTCACAAATCTAAATAATTAATAATAGCATATACTTCATTATTCGCCCGAATAACTTCAGTATTCGGCTAGGCCGAATATTCGGCAAAACGGCCGAATACCGAATAGTGGCCGAATATTCATTACATACTTAATAATAAGGCTTAAGGTATTTAATTTGATAACTTAATCAAGAGTTTTTGTTATTATTTAATAATTATTAATAGGCATGCAAAGTTGTTGAATAAAGCACCACAATAACTAAAAAAAAAACATAATGATAGCAAATATAAAGGTACAACATTAAAATGCTGTGAATGATTCATATGGATAACAGATAATAATAATAAATAAATTAAAATAAATATAGTAACAAGTACAAGATTACAAAATAAATTTATATGTACAGAAATAAAAAAGAAAAAAAAAACAGAAAATCTTAAAACTACAGAGGATTTTCAGTTCTAATCCCTTTAACCCAGGGGTTTCCACTTTACATGAGGCCGGGGACCGCAGTTAAAAACACCAGTCAAATGGCATGATGCAACTTTATCAAAATTTTATATAGGACTCTTTCATGTTTGAAAGAATGTTAAATGATACAGTAATTTTTTTAAAGTTGTACCAAACAAAAGTATTAAATTACAAATTAAAATAAGAAGTATATTTTTAAAAATATTTAATTGCATATTAAAAAGTTCTGGTTACAATAACTTTAATGTGCACCTATGTATTAAACAATAATGCGAAACAGACATAGAATTGCCAAGATGTCTGTTAAGCTTAAAAGTATTTAAAACCCATATAGATTTTTTACGAAAATTGTCCACAAAAAAAGACAACTAATATATTTTAGTTCGGGGGCCACCAGTTGGTAACCACTGCTCTAACCTTAAGAAAAAAAAACCTGCCTGACTCTTAAAAATGTTTTATAGACAGCTGCCATATGCAGAAAACTATTTCTTGACAAGTTATTATAAGACAAATTTTGATAAAAAAAATTTATTTTAAGCAGCTTTAGACTCTTGCTATATTTTTGACGCTGCTGTTCCTAAATTCTTAAAATACTACTTAGAACATTTATATTCTGAGTTCTTCAATTGTAGAGAGCAAAAAAGAACTAATAGGTAATTTTGATATTATTCTCTAAATAATAGTCTTTAAATTTACAAAGAAATTTTCTGTATTAATACATAAGCCAAAATAATTGCGAAGTTCAGGCAGGCGGTAATACAGAAGGATAATATTAAAATTCAAAAGGTCAAGTTTGTAGAAATTTTTGGCGAACCACTATGTATTTCTTAAAATACAATAAAGCAAAAACAATAATTAAGAAACACGATAACACATATTAAAACATGTTGCATTTGGCAATTTAAGTGGACACGAACTAACAATTACGAAAATGGAAGCATACCCGATTCATCTGTTAATCAAATCAATAAATTTAATTTTGTCAAGCTGCTGAGAATTTAAATATGATCGAGTACTATGCAATGAAAACTAACATATGATAGAGTATAATCTGTTCTAAATTCTCTAAAATTATAATTCTAAATGACTTTACATTAAAATTCATTTATTAAGTTTGAGTAATTTTCACATAATGTCAAATTTAAACATTAATTTAGTTCACTTATTCAGTTACTTTTATTAGACTTTTACCTAATCATGAATGAGTTAAAATGAAGGAAACATATATTCCAAGTTTATTTACATTAAGAGCACATCTCATAACAAACTTTTAACTTTCTCATTTATTAAACATTTCATATTAAACCAGTACAAAAGAAGTAATCTTAAACACAGAGTAGAGAATAAAGACTGCAATTAAAGAGAATACCAATCAAGGGCGCTGGCAGCGGGGTGCAAGGGGGTGCACTTGCACCCCCTTGGCTTTTTTTTAAACAGTTAAAGAGATACAGTAAAACAATTTTGTTATAAAAGTTTTTATTAAACATATTTTTATTGAACAAACTTGGCAGACATCTAAGCTATATTTTTAAATTTCATTTAATAAAATATAAGTAATATTATATTTTCTATTAGTTATTTAGTTTAACAAATGTGTATAACACTAACTGACTTCTCAAAACTGTGAAACTTCATCAACACAATAAATACCAATGCTAAGCGAGCACAAACACGTTAGTATACGAAACTACTGTTTGTAGTTTTTTGTGTTTCAAAGTCAGTAGCTCTGCCAGCGCCATCAGTACAGTTTCTCGTGGCAAAATTTGCAAGTACAAGAAATTCGTACTTCTTTTTAAATATCTTGTTAACAATGAAGAAATGTATCTTGAAAAAATTAACAGATGAAAGTATATATAACAAAACAAAATGTAATAACAGAATATTTTTAATTTTTTTTGTGTGTGGGGGGGAGGGGGTAGTTTGCTAGAGGGTTGCACCCCCTTTTATATTATTCTGCCGGCGCCCTTGATACCAATTACCATTTTAACACTTAGGCTAACAGATTTTTTGTACAACAGTAACCCAAATTATTTTTTAAAAAAACTGAAATATTTCGTTTTTAAATAAAATAAACTTTTTAAAAAGAAAAGAATTAAATTAAGACACTGAAAAATGCTAGACGTTTGACAACGTTAATTTGCTATTACACTTTTAATTCGGATACTTATTCGAAACAAAATATTTTTATCGTTGCTAAATTTAAACAAAATGAAGAAATGAGTAAATCCATTATTTGTTTGGTTTAGTGAAAATAATATACACATAAAACTATTTTGAAGAATAAAATGGAAAACTTGCAGTAAACAATAATTACACTTAATTACAATTATTTAATATACGAATAATTAATAAATATGCAACAACTATATAAGTTAAATTGAAGTTTTCAAGCAATTACTAATCACAGTTTTCAAACAATTACTGATCTTTAGAGGTTACTACTTCTATCTTTCAATGAACATATTTATTGACTCTATACCATACTAATTTAGAAAGTTATGAAGTTTTGCCTTAAATATTCTTACGTGTCAAACTGTATGAAGAAAACTATAACAAGTATGTAAAGAAATTTTCTAAGAAACTTAAAACGCAATCTGCATTGCAATGTTATGTTTACATTTTTCCTCAAGATGAAATTTTGGCGGGACATAATGTTGCCATTTTCTAAGAACAACAAAAATTATATAAATAAATTCAACTTTTATTTACGTCTCATCAAATAAGCGTATTTCAACAGTATTTGTCTTCATAAGTAGTTAAAATGTCTATGATGCAATTTTATTTTATGAATAAGTAGCATTAAAAAGTCCATACTGTATAAAAACAAATTAGGTAAAAGTGTAGCATAATGTCTATCACAGTTGTCATAGTAACGAATTTAAAACTTTTGTCATGTTTTGCGTTTTTGTGACAAGTGTTGCACTTCTAAATTTGATGCTTTGAAAGTAAAATATTTTCAGCACAGCAAAGGCAAATATTTTTATTTTATTTCGTATTAAATAGCACATTAATTAAATAATGAATCAATTTAATTTTTTCAGTACCAAATTAGTTTAATTTTAGTATAAATTAACTTAATTACATACTTAATTAATTTTTATTTAATTTTAAATTGGTTTTTGAAATAAGATTTCATTTGATTGAAATTTGAATATTATATTTTAACTTCTTATTCAATTAAATATAATTTTTTGCTTAATTATTTTAATATACATTTATTAAATTATTATTTTTAATTGTAACTAAAAAGAGAGAAAAAAATTCAGAATTAGAATAAAAATAATTCATCTGTTTCTAATTCTAAGTAACATTTCTCTTAATTTTTTGCATGGAATTCAGTGACAACTAAATATTTATTAAGTTAGTTCATTTTTATTTTATTTATTTTTTCTTATCAGAGTGGTAAAATGAAAAATCTATAGCTTTCTGGCTATAAATGACGTGGTATAAATTAACTTCCGTCAATCAATGAACTTAACCACAATTTCCATTTCTTACAAATAACTTCTTAATCTCTTATTCAAAATAGAAATGAAGTAAAAATAATATTAATAAATCAGTTAACTTAAAAAAAAATTATTTGTGAGAAAACTGTGACAGAAAACGCGATGAACTATTTATTATTGAAAAATATAACTCGACGAAGACAATTAAAATGTTTTATAAATCAATGAAACAATTTATTTTAGATTATTTTGGTCTTTTGCTGCTTTTTGTTGATTACTAATTTTTTATAGTCACTTTAAAGTTAACTTAAACGTAAAAGTTTGTGTTAAAAGTTTTCTAAAAATAATTCCCCGTTTGTTTGAGTTTAGTTGTAAGGAGTTAACTTTTATTTCCTTACATTCATTTGATTTTTTTTTTTTTATGTTAAAGATTCTTGTTCTATGAAATCAAAAAACTGTTCTCATTGCGTATTTCAAATTGATAATTAGTTAAAGAAAAGAAAAAAGAGAAGAAAAAAAAACTTTTCTAAAGCTTTGTGGGGATTGCGAAGAGTTTAGGGATTAAAAAAAATCAAGAATAAGTTCTGGGTGTAAAACATTATATATATTCACTTAAAGAAAACGTCCTTAAACATTGTTTTCAAATAAACTGGTTTAAATTGTTCTTTTACTCTTATTGGCTCTATCGGTTCGTCTTTCCTCACTTAAATATTAATTTGCGACCCTTTATAAGCAAAATTTCTCGATTTCTTTTTTACATAAGTAGTCTTGAAGTATCTATAATATTAGGTCATTAGGAAGCTCCTCTTAAAATAGTTACACTATGTGCAAGAAACAAAAGAACACGTAAGCAATATTTAACAACAACAGACCCAATCAGATCAGTAGTATTTTTTTTCACTAAGTTTTGAGCGGTCAGTGATAAAAAAAAATAAATAAACATTTCACTGAAAACAACTGTCTTAAATAAAACAGTTTTTACATTAAACTTTGATCAACTAATTGTACCTTTACTTTACGGATTTTAAAGGAAATTCAAAAAAGACTCGAGAAGATTCTAACAACAATGTATGCAATGCTCTAACAACATCTACTCAAACAGCAACTAGAGTCTGTAAGACCCTATTAACATTGTATAGAATAGAAATACATAGAGACCGATTATCCAATAATCGCATACAAAATTATAAAAAGTATTTTTTACATTATCTAAGTCTTGCTCATTAAAAAATATTGAATCATTATTTAAAATTTCTCTTTCAGGTGGAGATTTCGCAAGCTAAATTAAAAATGTCTAATAAGTAAGTAATTATACTGATAAATTGCGATAATACTGATAAGTTATTATACTGAATAAGTTGTATACTGATTTCAAATTTGCAGTATTTTCAAAATTTTATTTAATTTTATTTATTCATTTGTAGTATTTTGGTACGCATGTTGATTTAAATGCAATACGTAGCAGATGATTTTTCAATCGTTTCATAACTATTTTTATTTATTTATTTAAAATAGTATTTCTTTTTAAAGAAAATACAATGATCTGTGGAAATCAACGCAAGCTGATCTAGAGAAGCTTCTTGAAGAAGAATTAATAGAAACTTCTGCATTATCGGATCAAGTGAGTGATAAGGAAAAAAATATTTTTTATGCATTGTTAATAAACTTTGTGAATTTCTAATCACCTTCTTAATTATAGAGTGTCAATTTAGCTTTTTTATAGATAAATTGCTCCTAATAAATTTTAGTATAAAAGGCTGACGTAACAATGTTTTAGTTTGAATGTTCTATCGCACAGTAATTATTAGCAAGTAATTTTAGTTGTACTTTTAGTAGTAATTTTAGTTGTACCTTTATTAGTAATTTTAGTTTAACTCTAAGAACAATTTTATTTCAAATATTGAGTTTATGCTTACAGAACTCCTGTATGTTATGTATAAGTACGGAATATAGTAATTACTGCTTATAAGCATGGAATATTGTACCTTGAATCCAAAAGGGGAAAAAAATGAATCTTTATACTTTACTACAAAATAAAATACAAAGCATAAATAATGTACTTCAAGGAGACAAGCCTGTTGATGTTATAATTTGTTTTCATAAATATTGACGCAGTTTATTTATAAGTTTTTAAATTTCATATTTAGAACCGTGGTGGCTCGGAGAATAGAGAGATCACCCCACACTGAGATGACCCAAGTTCAAATCCCAGCGATGGCTGGTTGATGCGAATCCTGCACCCGGCAAGCACCGGCCATAGTGCTGACGTAAAATATTCTCAAAGGTTAACGAATTATGTGATGATTGCCGTCAGTCTAAACGTGGGAGGGGGGTTTCGTGGTTTTCCTCTCCATGTAAAGCAAGGCGGATTAATTCCATTTAAAGGTCCTTCGTGAAGACAAATTTCTCCCAATACTCGATCCAAGAGTTCTCTCCTGTCTTCCGTATTGAATTCAAAATCACAGTGTTATATATTTGTACATTAATAGTCGTAAATTAAAAATTGGGTTGACTGTTTAACACCGGCTATAAAATAAAATAAAAACTCGATATTTAAATTATGTGCACTCATATTACTTAGGTAGGGACTGAATTCTCCTTTATACATATTTAAATGATAAATTATATGACCCCTTTCCCAGGATATAAGTCCCGTCTCCTGTTTATAGTGAGTCTAACTACAATAACATTCGATCACTAAGAGAAGTGACTATGACTACAGAAAGATTGACTAACAAATTCAACTAACAGGTTCGTTTTAACATATTTTATAGAATATAAAGTATCTGCATTAGGCAATGTTTTTTTTTAAATAATAAATTAAATTTTGCTATTCTAATAAAAAGATCAGTCTATTCTGTTTAAGCGATTAAATTCCAAAAATGGTGCAAATTTGGAAATACAAACACGGTGCCATTTTCTGAAATTCTTAATTGATGTACTCGTTATATTTGGAAATTATACCCCCCCCCCCAATGAGTTTAAATTATTTACTTGATATTTCCCTGAAATGAAAAAAAAACTCATTAAATTTTCTTTATTGCTAGAAATAATAATTAGTTATTTTAATTTTTTAAAAAAATTCGCATAAACTACAAAATCCGAAATAATGCTTTTTATGTTTGAAGACAAGAAATTTATGAAGTTATTTAAAACATGTTGTCTGATGTTAGTCGACTATTTTTATAGTAACTATTTATGCAGTTACAATAACTAGTTATTATTATTATAACTATTGCATATTTAAATCACGCTATAATATTTTTTATATTTTCAACAGGAGCGTCTTAAGGCAATTCGCAAGAGTTCTGTTTTATATTTAAAATACATCAAAGTTTCTAATAAGCTGATTGATTGCCATAGAAATATTCTGCAACCACAGAAAAGAAATTTGCTGCAAAAACTAATCGATAATTGCATTGGTCGTGTTTTGGAACTAAAGCATGAACTCGTCGGATTAGAATTTTCAGAAATTCAGTTTTTGGATGAAGTTCTATTAGAACTAAAAATGGTTCCTGTAAGTAACTTTAACTGTAGTTATATAAAACAAATTTTGTCGCTTTATTGTCAAATGATCTATGTGTTTATCTAAGTGTAGTAAAAATCTTGATAAATAATAAAATTGCAGAAAATAAGGAAGAGTAGTTTTCCTTTATGGTATAGCGTGTAAGAAAGATATTATAACATTAGCATTAAGGACGCTAATTACATAGAAATACACTATGATATTAAAACTATACAAACCATTGCATTAAGGACACTATAACATTAATATAGAAAGAGGAAGAGTAGTTTTCCTTAATGTTATAAGGTGTAAATAGAATAGAATAGAATAGAATAGAATATTAGCACAGAAATACAATATGCGTTAAAATTATACACACCATAGCATTAAGGATATTGTAACATCATAGAAAAAGGAAAAATCGTTTTCCATAATGTTACGGGCTGTAAGAGTGAGATTATAACATATACATTAAGGATGCCATAACATTAACATAGAAGAACAATATAACAATTAAAATTATACTCACTATAGCATTAAGGACACTATAATATTAACATAAAAAGAGAAAGTTGTAAGTCTATCTCAAAGAGCTATTATTGTTAAAAATCATTTTAATCGACTGATTTAAAACCTATCTTTTTTCAACTTTTTTATGTTCAAAATAAATAAATTCCTTCGAGTATTTGAAAAGTCACGACAATTTTTTTTTATTCACTCCTACCTTAGATGCATTAACAATCCACAATATGTTAAACATAATACATGAAGGGTGTTCCGTTAAGATCACATTTAATTCATATTTTTACAATGTTTATATTTTTTAAGGACAAAAAAGTACTCACATTAGAGGGCATAAATGGATATTTTAAGGAGGAATAAAAAATTTAAAGCAAAAAAACGCTTTCAAAATCATTTGATTGAATCACTAATTAATCATACTTGGATGTTTTTAACTACGCTTTTTTCACTACTGATTCGTTAAAAATTTGATAGCGTTTTTTTTTTTTACTTATCATTGCTTAAATACAAATTCTTGCCCCTTACATTTTTGAATTAATTATTCACAATAATTCTAAAATAACATTTAAAGAATAATCATCCGGGAACACCATAAATACGGAATAGTGTTGCTCAAGGTAATGCAGTGATATATGGTTTTCAAAATTTAAAAAAAAAAAAAAAAAAAAAAAAAAAAAAAAAAAAAAAAACCTAAACAATGTAAACAAATCAGATTGACAATTCGCGGATCATATATGAGAACTGCATGTTAACACCAAAAAATACATTATACTTTTGAAAAATGAAATTTAGCAAGTTTACAATTATTAAGTATTATTATGCGCATACATATCCACACAGCAACAATTATTTCCTGCGCTAAATTGATATTTGTTAATTGATTTTCCATTTTGATCAATTGATTTTCTTGGCCAAATTGATTAACAAAAATTAATTTATAAAGTTACCCAATTATTCACCAAAAAAGTAACATAATAAATCCTCAATAAGGTTTGAGCATTAAGGAATTTATGCATAATGAGGAATAACACTGAATGTGTTTTCCATGAATTAGTTTTACTTCAGAAATGTTTTAAATTTTTTAAACCTTTTGAGAGAGTTGATAACAAATTTTTAGCAAAAACATTAAAAATTTGTGGAACGTTAATTTGTAAAAAAAGTTAATAACAAAAAACTGAAAATGAAAATATTTTCATCTACTTAGAGTGAAATGGATATCAAAATCCCGATGTATTTCTATGATAAAAGTACAGAAGAACAAGAAAAGCACGCTTTAATTGTTGAATTATTGAAGTACATAACAAAGGAAACGTCAATTAAGGTAAGAGCTTATTTTTTTAATTTTTTGTATCACTTTTACTCTATATACGAAACATTATATGTTAAGACATTGACACAGTATTGAATGGATTCGAATTCGACTGCATGATTCTTTCATGATTAATTATTATAAATCATGTTCGCTAAAGTGTCTGATTAATTTCAAGATATAAATGATATCTTGAAATTAATCAATTGCAACGAATTTATGTGTCACGTGATGGAATCATGCTTGTATTCCGAAACGTTTTTTTCTAAAAAAATGATGGAATAATACTACTATTAATAATGTATTTCTTCCCTAGTTTGTTAATTAATTTTTGGCATTAAAATGTTGTGCTTCAACTACTTTAATTAGATTTTTGGGCTTGTGTTTCGTCAAACATTGTCAAGAAATCAAATTCATAAAGGAGCATGATATAATTAGTCTGATAAGAAAAGAATTTTGGGCTTATCCTCCGACCACATCAGGAATTTAAATTTTTTCATAAAAAATAACTTAAATTTAGTTGAAAATAAACATGTTTTTTTATGCTCGAATCGGTACATCCATGCAAATCATGAATCTTAAACTTATTGAAATATATTTGAGTGTTAATAATCTAACATTCATTCAATTTCAAGAAAATTTGTGTGCAAAGTCATAAAGACATTCCTAAACACATTTTCCTAAAAATAAAAAAAAAATTAGAAAGCATATAAATTATGTTTTTTGTGAGTTTTTAGTTATGTTTTAAGCTGATTAATCAGCTATCTGTCACCTGAATGCCACCCTTCTACTGCCTAAAATTTCATAACTTTTTTTTAACTTCGTGAGGAAATCAAAATGATACCGATTCTTAACATAATCAGTCTAAAATAATTAAAAAAGTCTTCAATTCATTCACTTCTGAAACGGGGTTACAAGAAATACTTTCGGATTCAGATCTATCTAAGATTAAAGGAAGTCAGAATGTATATCAGATTCATAATGTCTTTATCTTTTAGAAAGATATCTATATATTGCGAAATACTGCATAACACAGTCAATTTAATACCGCTGATCAACTGTCTCCTCAAATAGTGGGTTCGAGGTTATGATGTCTAAACGAGAGAGCTTTAGTGTTAATTATCGGAACAAATTTACCTTCCTGGAGGACTTTCTGAATTAAATTAACCCTGACATGGAAATAACCTCTCACAGAGCCCAACGGACACTAACATATGGTTCATTTAACCTTCTGAATATTACACGTCAGCACCGTTTGTCTTTAATAATGAATTTTGCCAGTGGATTCCAAAGTACAGCCTCGCCATACAGAGTACTTATCGAACCCATAACAGCGCTAATTTTGCCGCTGACTTTAATAAATTTTGCCACTAAGTTTGTAAGTGTTGTAAATAGAAGCTAATGTAGAGTGCTTTAAAAAATTGACAATCAGGAAGGGCATTGCTAATCGTAAAAGTTTGGAAATAAGAGGATTAAATATTTATCAACTTGGTAATCACGCTTGTTTGAATCTCAGAAATGATTGGTTGATTCGTGCTTGTGCATAGTGCTGAGAAGAAGAAAAATACCGTGTACCGTCATATTTACGAATTTTATTTCCTTATGGGCTAACACTATGGGTTATTATAGTTTTTCTCTTTATGCAAAGATAATGTGTATTTATTTGGTTCAATAATTTTTTTGTGGAGGCAGATACGCCTCAATACTTAATTTACGATTCTCAGTGTCTTCGAAGTGAGGTAATTTCGAAACAATGCAGATGAACATCATTTTTTCAAATCAACATTATACAGGGTGTTTATAAAGTCCCGGACCCATTTTGATGTTTAATAACTCATAAAATAATAAAGATAGATTAAAATTAATAACATAAATGGTTAGATAGACTCAAAAAGTTTCACGACCCTTGACCCGGACGTCCCTGCTTAAGTGATTTTGACGTTGAGCGTGACAGACATTTTTAGACAATCCTGGAAGATCTGTGAGATCAGCGGCAAGAGAATTGGATTTGCCAATTTCGACGGTGTACAAGGTTATTAAGAAGCAATTAAGACTGCATGCATACAAAGTTCAAATTGTTCAAGGTTTGGAACCGGACGATAGGCCTAGGAGGATGGCCTTTGCAACAGATATGGTAGGAAAGATAGAAGATGATGCTGGTTTTCTGAAGCACATAATGTTCTCCGACGAAGCATCCTTTCATGTTTCTGGCATTGTTAATCGCCATAATGTGCGCATATGGGGATCTGAAAACCCCCATGAATACCGTGAGACACAAAGGGATTCCCCAAAGGTTAATG